GTTAACTTCAACAAGCATTTAGCACTTTTTAATTCTGTTCTAAAATATAAAATACCTATATAAACAATGAAAATACTTTATGTTTCTTTGTTTTCTTATTGCTCTATGGTTAAAGAATAATTTGTTTTCTGTGTGCATAATATAAAGATTTATTCCTTTGAGTTTATAAATTAACTATAAGACTGAATGAGGACCGTTAGGAAAATAACCTCTTTATGTAATTTACATTCATATATTAAATGAATGTCTATTCATTTATTTTATTTATTATTCTCAATACTAACATTGGAATATAACTAGGTATATTTCTTTTTAGTGTTAACCAAATGACTAAAGATTTAATAAAAAACAAAATTATTTAGAACGACACCTATATACATATATAGTTATATGAAAAGATATTATTTGTAACAAAAAAAAAACATAGAACAATAATATTATTATGGAATAAGTGACTAGGCTTTTAGAAAGCTCACGCATTCCTAGCTCTGGTTTATCCATATCATTAAGGTAGATTATGGCCAAGCTCATGAGGTATATACAAAAAAGTTTTGCCGACAGAAATAACATTTCTTTTCATTAATATCCTATATCTTTGTCGTGCATATTTTAGGCACTATATTTATATCAATATAATTAGTTATTTTTAATAACAAAATAAAATTAATTGTTTCAAAATTTATGGCCATAAGTACGTATTACTTAACAGAAATTTCTTTTCCGATGATACTTTGTATGCGAATGTTAATAATTATTCTGCGCTTGCAAAACATAAATATTGTATGGTCCAAATAGTTTGCCGGTTCACTAAGTCATTAAGACTAATTCCTATTAAGGTATAAATGAGGGCAATGGTTGTTCGAATCCGCTTCCATCAATGAACATCAATCTTTAAACTATACTCGAAGTAATAAATAAATCCCCTGAACGTAATGAAACTGTGTCTACCGGTAATGGAATGGACTAGTTGAAATGAATTCGCATTCACGGTACAGATCAATAAAAAAATGTTACTACGATATAAACTTTAGTAGAAAATTATGAAATAGTTTATATATTTTATGTATTAGGTTTATTTATGTAATTCCCGACCTCTTTTAAATGTAATTTTTATCAAACAAGTTGTATAAAATAAGCAGAAATCATTCATTTATACAGGGTGACTGGGGAATTACTATCGATACTTGAGGACGTGATATTTGACGATCATATATGACAAAATAAAAATTAATATAACATAAATATTAATAAACTTCTAAGTAAAGTTAACCAAAAGTTATGTAATTAATTACGCATCGTGTGAACACCCTACAGATTAGGTATACACACACACACACACATACGCGTGCGCGGCGTGGTGTTGTATCAGCACGCCGCCGCACGCGTCCACACTTGGAACACTTGGAACGTGTCAACACTTTATTTATTTATACGGAAATTTTGTCAAAAATTAAGTGCCTATTTTTTTACATAATTCGAATGAGAATCATGTACCGAGTATTCTCCTTAAATATTGATAGTAATTCACCAGTCACCCTGTATATATAGTCCAAGATCCCGTGGCTGCCAGACGTCATATTTTCTGACGATGAAATCTGGACGATTCTGTAGCGTTAGTATGTGCTATGATCATGTGCCTACCTGCTACCTTGGTAAAATTAAAAAAAAAATGCTAATTTTTTTGTGTTCAATTCCTTTACATTGATAAAGATTTAAATTCAAACCCTTGTTTCTATCCTAGGACAGAAGCTGATGATTTGATTCTATAAGTAATCTCGATATCAATTTAATGTCATTCAATAAAATCATTTCTCGTGTGACGTTGATTTCTTTAACGGTGTTTAACGGGATTACTCGAGTGTTCTGGTTGGATCGGTTAAAGTGACGCAACTGTATTCCTTTATTTATATACACATTGATAACCTTATATAATTCTAGATGATAGTTTTATTTATAACTAGCTTCTCAGTTTAATTACATGACTAAAATTACTATCCGTAGTTACTTAGTTTCTTAAAATTCAGTCGAAGAAGAATATTATTTTATTAAAGACCAAACACTACCGCGACTATGTCCGCGTTTTCCTTTAAGTAATACATTGTTGAAATTTCTAACTGCTCTACTTGTTATTTATATATCGATTCAAATAAAATTAATACAATTTTGATCTATCCATCCTACTTCTATATTAAAAAGAAAAATTCACCGAAATTGATTTACTATTTAGCTTTTACTGAGATTAGTGCAAAGGGATAAATGGACATACATGTAAAAATAAACAAAGATTCTAATAATAATCATTGTTATAGGTTCGATTCCTTTCCCACTATTATACAGGGTGACTGGTCAATTACTATCAATATTTAAGGAGAATACTCGGTACATGATTCTCATTCGAATTATGTCAAAAAAAAATAGGTACTTAATTTTTGACCAAATCTCCATAAAAATAAATAAAGTGTGGACACGTTCCAAGTGTTCCAAGTGTGGACGCGTGCGACGGCGTGCTGATACAACACCACGCCGCCAAACGCGTGTGTGTGTGTGTGTGTGTGTATACCTAATCTGTAGGGTGTTTACACGATGCGTAATTAATCACATAACTTTTGGTTAACTTTACTTAGAAGTTTATTAATATTTATGTTCTATTAATTTTTATTTTGTCATACATGATCGTCAAATATCACGTCCTCAAATATCGATAGTAATTCACCAGTCACCCTGTATATTAAACATACAGACAACGGCTAATTTATATATACAAAACAATTGAAAGTTTAAATTTCAATTACAATCCCTGATCACCATTTATTTAGGCCAATGACCAATGACCAGTCTTTAATATAAAAGATCATAAATGTAAACCAGTTTTAATCAGCTTAATACCTTCATAAACATGAATATTAACGAGCGACGTCCGGCTTCTAGTGCGATCTAGGCAATTAGTTCAAGTGCACTTAAGTCTATGCGATTTGAAATTAATGTGTAAATAAGAACCAAATTTTTTTCGTCTCATTTATAATTAAAAATTCATAATATAAATCATAGTACAAAAGGATATTTCTTTACTATAGAACTAAAATTTCTATTTTTTTTTTAATTTACGTAAAGTGACATTATTAAATAATTTTATTTTTTATCTGTGCTAGCATTTTTTTTTTGTATGGAAAGCAAAGAGAATGTATAGGTTCCAATGATTTAGTAATTTTCCATAACTAAAACTTCGTTTAGTAAATCAATCCGCACGTACGAGGTTCCTACAGCCTGTTCTTATACCGTTCCGTCGTAGCACGTGCGCTATCTCAAATGAACAGATGTTTCGGAAACAAAAAAAAAACAAACAATGAACCTAGATTCAAACAGCCGTCCGTGAGACGAAGGATGTGAAGAGATCCTTGTAGCCTGGTCGGAGGCAGGTGTGCTCTGTGCGACAACACAGAAACACACACACACACACACACAGACAGACACAGACACATACACAGACAACTTACTAGTGTATAGCGGTAAGGAACTCGCCCTTATGACAGATGCAAACAACACGACTGAAGTATACTCTACTTACAAATAATAATACAGCCATCCACAACACTCGTTGTTACTTGATTTTTTTGATATAAATTACATCGATGTATCGAAATTAATTAATTGCAATACGAATATTGATATTACGTGCTTTTTATAAATTTAGTCATAAAGAATGTCACAGTCTTGTAAATTCATGACAATAGACACTAGGATGTATAAACTTTACAAATACTATTGTTGTATTACATTCAACAACAAACTTCGAAGTAGAGCAAACACAGCTCGAGCACATTATTGTGGAAGCGACTTTTTGTAGTCAACGTACCGACGCCCCTTTACATCCCAACAGTTCCTTATTCTTACATTTTACTTCATACAGCATGTTGCTTTTTAAAGAGCACGGTTCAAATACAACGTATTTTCGAATAAATCTCTGAAACTCTAGTTATCTTGTGAAGTGTTAAAAACTGTCAAAAAATGGATACAATAAACGTTGTCTTGAAAACTGGTTACAAGATTGTAAAGGATTTTAGTGAACCTCTCAAAACCGTGAGTAATGAGATTATTTACTGTTATATTATAAAAACTAATTACGAAGCATCTGTAGGCACTTAAAATTAAAAGTAATATAAATTAAGAAACGTGATTTTAATTACGCGTGATGACTGATGACGGTTCATTAAAGATGAATGTAATATATGGAAGAGTTTTTATATACGTTATGTTTTGCCACAAAATAATATACATTACGAACACATTACATATAAAATGATAACTTACGATTTCCGTATATTTAAATTGATTTGTCTAATATATTTTTAAGCGTTTATTAATAATTTTTCTTTTGATCATGTTCTGTATTTAATTTACTGAATATATTTTTAGCTATTAAACCTTCTTTATACTAAAACTTCGTGCGAACGTCTTTCCCTCCATTGAAAAGTTCGTTATAAAGTACACGTGCGGCATAAATTTTACTTACACCATCAATAAAAAAACATGCAATGTATTTGTGTTTTAATTTTTTTATTTATATCTAATTCTTCTATTTTTAATTAATAAAAGCTGAATATAAATAATTTCTTCTTCTTCTTTAGTTAGTGCGTTTCCTATAAATATTTTCTGTATTTACTTTTATCATGAAAACGTCACTGCAAAGTCAAAATCGTATGACACACGCATTCAGCGGACAAATAAACAAAATTTATTTATTGTAATATATAAAAATAATTAAAATATTAAATGAATAAAAAAAAATATTTGTGGCCAGAATACCAAAACTATTTTTTTCGTTCACTAATTGATTGTCCATATTTTTTTTGGGGATAGTACATTTTATTGATATAATGTATTAAATATTGACATACTTAGCTTATAATATTTACATACTTAATGTTCTTTTTCTAACGGTAAGCGATGTAAGCGATGTTTTGGATTAATAAAGGCTTTATTAATGTATTAAATGTATTTAGATGGAGACATCGGGAGGTTCAGAGAGTTCTGGTGGTGAGGATGCGGAGGCGAGACGATCACGACGAGGACACGTGCTGGCTGAACTACTGCAGACTGAACGAGTCTACGTACAGGAACTCGGCTCAATACTCAGTGTGAGTACACTTAATACCATCACAAAAACTAGCTCCCTCTGTGTTCAGCCCCATATCTGCCACAAGTTACTCGCTCTGAAAGTTATGTATGCCGATAGATGGTCTGTTTACATTCAATGATCAGTCACGGACCATCTGAGTCCTCAGCCATATTCATCAGATGCATTCGATACGTCGCACGCCAAGTAGCGCGCGGAGCCAGCGAGCAGAACGTAATGCATTTTGCACATTCGCAAAGTGGACGCCGGTGCATATTATCACTCGCGCTTTATTTTCTGCTCAACTTTGTAACATGAAGCATGGGAAATACGACCTGCACAAATCCTCCAACGACCTCAGCGTGGGCACCTCGTACTCTTGGTACTACAGAAAAAACAATTCGACTCATCGTAAACCGAGAAAGTTGATGAGATCTGCTTCAGACTCCACGCTCTTCAGTGATTACAACAATCAGATAAACATGTTCGAGGTAGATAGACGGAAGAGCAGGAAATGTTACAAATCTGTGAGTGACGTCGGTAAATATAGCCGTGTGGAGTACCAGCATCGAGTTATTAAACCAGTTCAGATGCAGCCGTTCACAGGGAACTTCTTCTACGGAGAACCTTTACCGGGATTCGAAGACACCGGGAAGACGGAAGAGAAACTAACCTATCTACCGGATTCAGATATCGTTACGATTTCAGAAGATAACATGACGGAATCTATAACAACAGCGCCCACTATAGTCGAACCTGAGCAGAGCCCAGAGCTCGTAAAAAACCCCATCTACGGATGTCGTGAGACAGACGTCCATATATTGACTCCAGAATATTCCACGGATTCAACCGTCACTAAAGATTCCCAGCTATTATCTAATAGCTGCACTGAACTAAGAAAAACTATGGATAGCCAGAACTCGGAAGACATGCTTGGGAAAATAATGAAAGATTACAAGAGAATAATGAAAGAATGGAACAATACTATAACTGAGCATTATTCAACAATGACGTATTCCAAGAAATCCACGCTCTGTAGCAGTAGTAACACAGGCAGTGGTATGCGGAATGCACATTATAATTGCAAAAAACGTAATAAATTTACTAAATACTTTAAAAGCAATTACAAATATCCTTTTACAACTCAAAATTATAGACGCCACCGAAACTCGGATTTAAGAAAAATTCAAAGCTTAAACAGAGGATTTTCTTTAAATAATTGGGCATCTAATATTAAGAATAAATTTCGAAAAGACAAAGATAGATACACTCCAACGGAATGCGAATGTTTGGAAGCAATTTATGATGACTATGACGAGCGGTTACAGAAATGGTGTGAAATTGTTAGTCAGTGTACCACTCTCACAAACTCGGTACGCTGTAATATAAAAACGAAATCCCTTACTTTGTATTTTTGCTATAAATATTTCTAACTTCACAGGGTTATAAGGAAGAGATTGAAAAGCCAGAAAACCAGCATATGCTGCCCACAGCGTTGGTCGGACAAGCTGACGTATTGTTCGGGAATCTCCACGAGCTGTTCACGTTTCATCAGGATGTATTCTTGAAAGATTTGGAACGTTCGATATCCGCCACGGAACTCGTCGCGCTTTGTTTTGTTGAAAAAGTAAGTCATTAACACGATCAAGTATTTACATTGATTAAATAACTTTCACTCTTTCTTTTTACTCGCTCATTAGCACAAATTATGCGACGTTATAAAGGATTTTTTCTTATATTTGTGTATTTTATTTCAGAGGGAGACTTTCTTCAGACTGTACAGCTATTATTGCCAGAATATTCCTCGTTCAGAGCGTCTGCGCGAGACATTAGTCGACACACATTTGTTCCTTCAAGCCTGTCAACAACGTCTTGGCCACAAGCTACCCCTCGCGGCATACCTTCTCAAACCAGTACAAAGAATAACCAAATATCAGCTACTGCTTAAGGTATAAATATAAAGTAATTAGAACTAACAAACCATAGTATATAACTTCATGTATTTAGCTTCTTTTAGTATTCTTTGTAATTTCTTCAATTTAATTCTATTCAAAATTCACAAGTTATTATGCTATACAAACGTCATTAAATGTAAGAACAAGCATATCAATTCAAGATTAAATAACTACATATACATAAGTCCAGAAGTATTATATTTTATTCAAAATGAATCGATATCTCTCTGACTTAATCAGACAAAACTTCTTAGCATTTACCGAGCTGATTCCAGGTATATCGAGTATTAAATATAGTTATAAAAGAAGAATATAATGAGATCTAAGATTTTCGCGAGTACTCATTTAAATGAAACTAATATTTTCATTTTATATTACATATATTTTATACCGTGATCACGGTTCCTGTAAAGTAACCGAAACGTCGGGAGTAAACACTTTATAATCAAAAATAAAAAATAGCGTAGTAAATCCGAAAATAATAGATTCATTTATAAAAGAAGAATCTTTAAGTGCATTTCTTATTGTAATTCCAATTCTTCCTCAGGATCTTCTCCGGTACAGCGAGTGTGGTTCTATGAGTGCGGGGCTGCAGCAGGCTTTAGATTGTATGCTAGTGGTGTTAAAATGTGTCAACGATTCCATGCATCAGATAGCAATCACCGGCGTACCTGTGAGTTAATTACCAAAATAAAAACATTACCAAAACATTAAGAGCTACTAATAATATAAATTAATTCGTAGGTGGACCTCAATCAACAAGGCGAATTACTACTACAAGGATCTTTCCTGGTGTCTTCAGAGAACAAACGTGATCTCCGACTAAGGATACGGCCGAGGCGAAGACATATCTTCCTCTATGAAAAGGCTATGCTCTTCTGCAAACCTGGTACCAAGAACAGCCACAACAAAGCCACCTACCACTTCAAACACGACCTCCAGGTACGTAACACTCTTGAAGTGATAAAAAATATTTTCTTTAGATATTTCTATTTTCTTTAAAATATCGTAATAACCAAAAAGAACTATTATATCATAATATTAAGGTCCATTTTGAAATTAACACAAATTATGATAACGTAGGCATAAGTAGGAATTTATGTAACATATTTCATCTAATTCCAGATGTCACAAATCGGTCTGACGGAGTCGGTGAAGGGTGATCCTCGTAAGTTTGAGGTGTGGCGTCAAGGGCGGTCCGAGGTGCACACGATCACGGCGCCCACGACCGACGTGAAGCGCTCATGGGTGGAGAGGATCAAACGGGTGCTGCTCGACCAGTTACACGAGCTGAAGGGAGAGAGAGTCAGGCAGTACGCGGCGAATCACCACCGGTTAGTGACAACCCTAATATAAAAGAGGTTCATTGATTTTGACAACCCTAATATAAAAGAGGTTCACTGATTTTGACAACCGTAATATGAAAGAGGTTTATTGGTTTTGACAACCCTAATATAAAAGAGGTTTACTGATTTTGACAACCCTAATATAAAAGAGGTTCACTGATTTTGACAACCCTAATATAAAAGAGGTTCACTGATTTTGACAACCCTAATATAAAAGAAGTTTATGGATTTTGACAACCCTAAGAGTGTTTTATCTAGCAACACCATTAGACAATAGCACCTATATATAAATCTCATACTTTGTTTCAGCGCTAAACCTTTTTTAGTGATGATCTGTTCTGTATATATTTTTCTTAATATCCTTTAGTTGTGACTCGAAAGTTATTTCGTGGGTACAAAGTCATTACAGACTTCGTTACGGTTGTGTGTGTGTTGGCTTTGGATATAGAGAACAAGATTTGTTTCGGTATGCGGTCATTAATTATGTCATGGTTTTTTTAGATTATCTCGGGTAGAAAACGCAAAAACAAGACTATTGTACCTTTTTATAAAATTGCCTACGGATAGATATACCTATATTTAGTAAAAATAGAGAATGAAAAGGTTTAAATAACAAAGAATTAATCTTTAAATTCTATAGCCGATATTATTATATAATTATCAATATCTTCTAGTACCCAATAATTGCAGAGTTCATTTTATAATCTAATAGCTTTAATGGCTTAAAGTTCCTATCTTTATATATATAATTCTTCTGTGAGTGTGTATGTCACTGAACATCTCTCAAACTACTGAACCGATTTTGATGAAATATTTTGTGTGTGTTCAAGGCGATCTGGGAATGGTTTAGATCCACAATTTTGTGCGCTGGACAATATTTTTTTATTATTTTTTTATTTATTAGTAGTTGTTGATACAAACTTTTTTTTTGACATTAGATTTGACAAACCAATATGTCAATCATTCTGTCGCACTTCAAAACACTGAGATTTATGGCTTTTAATAGGTAAACTCTAAGAATATAAATAAAAAAATCGTAACAGATATTTCTTGATTATAGGGCGATACGAAGTTCGCCGGGTCTTCTAGTACCCAATAATTGCATAGATCATTTTATAATCTAATAGCTTTAAGCTTAAAGTTCCTATAATTTAGTATAATCATACGATGTATCTATATTCTATAGGACATTAATCCAAACAAGTTCGTGGGAGACGGGCGGGTCGGCGGCGGTCGCTCGCGGTCCACACGAGGAGCCCTGCTGGTCCACGGACCCCTCCGACGACGACGACGAAGACACTGAACACGCACCGGTCAGTACACGCTATATATACACCACGTGCTGTTAAGACAGCTTTACACTACTCACGAACGATAATATATATGTATAAGAGAATGTCATATGTATGTGTAAAGATGACTTTATTACGAACGATTCATTAATATGAACAAGCTGTACTAATATGTGTAAAGACGACTTTATAAAACACCCAAATAAGTGATACGCTATCTTCACACTACTGAGGAATATAATTATTAATTTAATATCATATATGTATGTATAAGCGATCGTGAGAAGTGTAAACGTGGCTTTATATACGTCAATTTGACGTTCTTGTAAAGGGTAAAAGGCGGGATTTTTTTGTATGTTGTTGTTTTGTATTTTCTTTGACGTAATAATATATGAGGAAGTAAAAGATTACTTTTGTGCAATACAATAGTTGATTATTATAGCTCTGTATATGTAGACATTTAGTTTTAAATATCTTGCTTTGGGTTTTGTAGTAAATTATATGGAAGAATTTCCGTGTTGTATTTCATGAAACGAAAATTAATATCGTTTGTAAGGTTCTGTTTCAAATTAGTGTACCATACTTCTTAAACCAAACAGTATATAGAAAGTGTAATTTTGACTTCAAGTTCATTAATGTTATATGTACCGGAAGATTTTATAAATACATTACTTCATATAATCATAAGACTGGTAGTTCTATCACATAAATTAAATACTAACATTAATAAATGTGGTGCTTAATTTGGTAACCGAAATAACTCCACTTATTAAGAGTAACTAGTTGTCATAAGTTAATTACGACTAATTTTGGGTTTACAGTTGTGAGTGAAGTGAAATCCACTCTATGTAAGTCATCTTATACATATAATAAAATTATTTTTAATGGAATGGGAAAAATAGTAAATGGGTAGCGCATGTAAAGGCTGGCAACCCGGACGCACAATAACGCTTCCAAAAATAACAAGATAAAATAAAAAATATGTACTTAATATATAGGTCCCTGTTGAATAGTATAGAGAATTAGTTCACGCTGTAACATAGCAATAGGATTTAGCTTTATCTATTTAAATGTCCATTAATTTTTGGCGCCCACCGTCCGATAATTATCGCCGTCACCGCATATTTGTTTTCGCAAATCACCAATCATCGCTTTTAAAAAATCCAATAAGAAAAATATATTTAATTTTGCACCGAAATACAATCGATCAATTTATTTGGCACTCATTAATAATTTATATAATCTGTGTTGATGAGAGTCGATGTTTGGCGCGTCCAAGATGGCTGCCATGTTCAAGTTGTGTTGTTCAACAGGTGACGGAGGCCGTCGGTCTCAACGGTACCATACACAGAATGGTACAATTCTTTTCAGTATCAGGCTCGACCCAAGCCACATCTACGTTCTATGTATCACAATACTAACATTGCCACCGGCAGCCCTTAGCGGCACTGTATATAAAGAGATATTATCCAAAGTTTATACCAAAAATACCGACGCAGTTTTGGATATTTGAATTGTTTTCGCTGAACATATACTAGTGTAAGTCATGTTTTGTTTGTTATGTCACTCATTGTCGTGTGCTTTAAGATTACGTTGAATAACTTAGCTTCGCTTTGATTACGTGTTATATTATTTTATGTATTTTTGTTTATTAGATATTAGTTACGCATCATGACACACTCCACAAATATAGTATCAGGATAATATTTCGGTGTTAGCGAAATAATGATACACTTTGAATTATTTTAACCGACTCGGCATTATTTACAAGCATTTATAATTATTGTATGTTTCACTTATAATATAAAAACTGTTTATTTTACTACGTATCTCCTACATTTGTGTTATTTCAAACATAATAATATTCTACTCTATAGAGTACATAAGATACTTGTATATATATTATACGTATATTTATTTACTATCAATACGTCTGTACTGAGAATTATTTTGTTTATGGGACTCTAGAACTATCTTCCACCGTTATATATAAGAAGAAATAAATTACAGTTTGGTGATTTAAATATAAAAATATTTATATTATATGGTAGTATTAAAATGGAATTTATTTAAGTTACCATCTGTGAGTATATTTCCATGCAAGACACGCATGGCTTTAAACAACTTAATGGCATACTAATAATACTGAAAGGTTTTATTTGGAAAAACAATTAACAAAAAATGGAACGATTGTAATGGTAACATTCTTTGTTGCCATTACCATCCATATAATGTGAAAGCTTCCTAACTAACGATAACTGCTGTGTTGCATGCAATCGGGGTTTTTAAAATTATAATTAAAAAAAAGGTTTTAATGTACAACCACACGCATGCGCTCTATGCATTGACGCTACACTTGTATCGGTGTGTTGATATCTATGGACGGACGACGTGCATGGTTCATGTGAGGAATCTAATATAATTTGATGGTGCATTTCCAGCAGATATGTGGATAATATTTAAAATGAGAATGACTTGCACTTTCAATTATTGACAGCTCTGGTGGTAATGCAACGACAATAAAAAAAAAAGTTTGACATCATAATGCCAAAATGGGAAGTCAAAGTAGGTTTTAATAAAGAGGTTGTATGTCAGGCGGTGGGGTGCTCGCTGGTCGCGCTGTCGGACTACACGGCGGTGGGCGCCAGCGAGGTGTCCCTGCGTGAGGGACAGCACGCCGACCTGCTCAAGGTGGGCTGCGCCGGCTGGTGGTACGTTCGGTTGGCAGGTACGTACTATAGAGACTTTAACTAATTCTCTCTCTTATTAGTTCGCTATATGGACGTTGGTTGGGGGAGGAGCTTGGACAGTAGATGTGAGCGTTTAACGAGCGTTAGATTGGGGACTTTTAAATTTACACCTGGGTCGCAAGTCCCGGGCACTGTTGAAGCTCCTCTCCCTGCAATGATGAACCCGGAAACCTCATGGTTACTCATGGAATGCTGAGGAATTTTGTCTCTTATGTATATATTACTAGCTTTTGCCGCGACTTCGTCTGCGTGGAATAGTAACTTCCGGCAGATTCTTCCCACATAGTTCCCGTAGAATTTTTAGGATAAAACCTATGTTTTTTTATTCACAATGAAATATTCTTAACTAAAAACATATTTATTTGTTTATTTGAATAAAGATTAATATTAGTATGTTGATACAACTTAAACAAATTATTTCGACCAAATTAGGTACCATAAAAATGGTTTTTGTGAGTTAATCTTAAAAGATAGACATATACTGTCGCGGACTGTTTTTTAGATCATTAAAAGAGCTATTATTCTTTAGTACATATTTTTTGTGTATCTTGAACCGTTTTCACGGCGCACGCAACGGAAGGCTTCAAAGATGAAATAATTTCTCCCGTTTTTTACACATTTACAACTATATCTTTGCTCCTATTGGTCGTAGCGTGATGTTATATAGCCCACAGCCTTCCTCGATAACTGGACTATCCAACACAAAAAGAATTATTCAATTCGAACCAGTAGTTTCGGAGATTAGCGCTTTCAAACAAACAAACAAACAAACTCTTCAGCTTTATAATATTAGTATAGATTATCTGGATATGATTGCCATTCTACTGATGATAAATGGAATGACGGAGTGAAGATCGATCCTTATTCTTTTAATGTATAAACACAATATATATACATATATATATATATATATATATATATATATATATATATATATATTTTTTTTAGAATATGGTTCTTGTATTTCTTTGGTGTTATTTTCAGAAGTGAACTTGAGAAAATATAATTTTTGTTTCCAGGCGGCCATGGCGAGGGCTGGGCTCCGGCCGCTTACCTGGATCAACGGAAGACATCACGTTCGTCCAGCCGCTCGCACGACCGCCTCCACGACTGAACGTCACACGCGACTGACAGATGTCACACTGACAGATGTCTGTTGTCACATTGACAGAGGTCACTCTGACACATCGTCCGGACATTCCCGTATTCCAGTTGTCTAAAGACAGCATGCTTGAAAAGTGTCCCGTGAAAAAGCTTAGAGCTCGATCTATGTAGCACGAGTCGAGATCCGCGCTAGTTATGCATTTAGGAGTAATCGAGTTTAAATAGAGGCGTTATAATTTCAAATTTATATAACAACGGATTTATTGTTTGTGTGACGGTTGGGTACTTAAAGTACTTCGGTTGTGTTTTTTATGTCCTTATTACCAGCCTTAAATCGTTAGTCTCGGTAATGATATATTTTCAGCGCCAGTCGGAATGTTTTCAATGTTGTATGATGTAAAGGTTCTAAAAAGCTTTATTGTAAATTAGTTTAGATGTAGCTTGTTATTGTTGAATCCAAAGCTATGTATAGAGCGTGAGGTCGCTTCTTGTAAATATCATTTCTACTTTAGTTATTTATTTTAATGGATGCCCCCGATGTCGTATATCGCATATCGTTTTCCCCATGACAATTCTTTTGTGATAGACGTGTAAAATACGCAAACTATTATACAAAAAATAATCAAATTATAGAAACTTTCTAAAAATTATTAATTTTTAGTTTCAAAAATCATGTAATAATTAATAATAAAATTTCGTTCATTCTATCATAAGTTATAACAAACACAGATAAAAAATATATGCGACAAATTCTAAGAATATATGTCAATGTCATAGAATCCTTATTTCGAAGTTGTAAAAATATTTAAATGACCAATTAATAAATTGTATAATCTACATCAATTTCAATGATAGTAATTAAAAATATATACATATATAAATATTAAAGGCATGTTTCGCTTGTATGTATATTTTAAGTACTAGTCGTGGTTTTTGTACCGTGTATCGTTTTGTTCGGTGTTTGTATCTCATTGTATCATGTCGCATATCATTTGTAAACAGATTGAAGAATGAAAAACATTGTACCTGTCTGAAGCTCGAATCATGGAATGGTTTTAATAAAATCATATTGTATCATACAGCTGATAGCAAATTATAAACATATGTCCATTCCGTGTCGTTTTATTTTTATTCATATTTAACACTAATCCATCTCATTAATTATTATCATTACTTTTTACAGTTTTTTGATGATCCATTCGTTTAGTATGTTCGATCGACTGTTTTGCATGTTTTTAAATATCATAATTAATTAGATGATCCTAACCAATACGAACAAATAATAACATTTTTACATTAATAAATAATAAATTAAAAATACTAAATAGTATTCTGTATGTAAGCCATACTTGTGCAATAAATATGTATATAGTGAAAATTTATAGTTCATTAGTATTTTCTATAGCTTACGAAAGTTATTTCTAAAATAAGTGTTACCAAAAAATAGAAAATATTGTAACGAGCAACACTTATACAGCCTTCTAACTATCCGTATAAATTTAAGGTTAATTAAATAATATTATAATAATATTGCAGCACTTAAACTCCCTTCACATATATCGTAAGAATACTTGTAAAGTTAGAACAAAAGGGTAATTAAAATTCGTGATGAAACTTGACGTTACAATTTAAATGAAAAATTTCATATGTTCTAAAATTGATTAATAGGAGACATTAAAATAACGCGGAATCGAAAATATATATTTGATTCTCAAGTCGATACTTATCTTATTTAATGTTGCCAAAGTTATATCTTACTGTTGGTTTTATTTATCTATGGCAACTAACGCGAAATGTCAGTCAGCGGACTTGAACAATTTTCGTTATGATATAAAGTTTTATACAAAATTTGTTACAAAAACAAAAACTTTTGATCTGTTATTAATCAGTATTATATATGTTAACATTTGAGACTGACAAATTTATTTACTAATATCTCATCTTATTGTATTTTTAAAGTTTTTCCTGTTTGAAAAATACGTAATGAATTACGTATGTAAGCAGCGGGAAAGTTCTTGTATCCTGACCTAATGTTTTAAACGAATTATTAACTGAAAGAATAGATAATCATAATAAGTACACCGTAGATCAGTTTGTGTAGGTAATAAAGTAGTTGAAATAATGTCTTATTGTACTTTACGACTTTATACATTATCGTACAAATATCCAATTAATAAGATAGCATTATTCTCTCTAAGTTAACTTTATGAACCAATGCACGACTTGTAACTTCTCACTCGTATGTAGATGAGTATGTATGTACTAAAATGCTCAACTAATATCTGTTGAAGATCTTTTAACATCATTAACGTCAATAGCAACTTCTCCATATTTAAAAATATAAGATTTTTAAAAAATAAGTAATTTACTGAATAATTCGGGTTTCAATTAAAAACTAAGGGATTTTTTTTATCAAGGTAAAAGTTTACTCTATTACGTCTAATCGTTGGCTGTGCTCGGACCAAACTTACAAAATACCAGCATGAATTAAGCAAGTGTCTTATTTGTGATACAATTTTACCGCACAGTCCGTGAATATTTTTATTTTAATGTTAGAACTATGAAACTACGAACTTCAACTTAAATATTATTAATGTGAATATGTTTATTGGTTTAATAATTAAATGGCTTGATACGTAGTGTTTCATTGGCATTTTAACATAATCTGTATTAGTTTAGTAACTGAAAAATAGTAGACATCATTTTCAGAGGCGTCTTAAATCTTTGTACTAGTATGTAAATAATTAAACATAGTTAAATTCTTTCGTATTCTGAATATATCTCTTTGTTTTGCCTTATTATTTTTTTTCTTATTTATTTATATTACAATAGTAATAAATGTTATGAATATATTATATATACATTTTCATTATTTACATATAGGATAAAGATATACATAAGAATGAGGAAGAAATTATACAGATGTTTGCAAAATATATTAAAGTTTACTAGTAGACTATGGGAACTATAAACCAGATACACTAAAAATAAATAATATAAGCAGAGGCATTACACGCTAGATTTCTTTGATTTTGAATTATTTAACTTTGAAGTTGATTGTTTTATTATTTCCTGAACTAAATATTTCTGCTAAATTAAATCTCAACCGTTTTAGAATAACTGTTATATTGATTTGCAAAATACATATGTAATTTTATCGGTAAAGGAAACATATACATATATGTACATACAAAAAATCTTTTACTCCATTTGTGCTAGCTAGTTATTATAGCTTACAAAACAATTGACCTTTACGTGACCAGCGAACTAGTGTACATAGTTAAAATTTAGATTTACTGTATACGCAGCGTTTCCCACTTGTCATTTAAATAACCTATATTAATACTATAATATGAAATAATCTTAATGAAAAACTGTTAACGGACCGTATGTAGTGACGATGCAAGCTTTGACTAAGCCAACAGAACTTAAAAAAATATTAACATTATTGTATTTCAAAAAGTGGATATGATTTTATTCGTCAGTCAGAGGATGGCTTTAATTTGTTGTTATTTAACTCAATTTGATATCTATGTCATTCATATAAAAAAAAATATCTGTTTAAAAAAGTTGATTAGTTTTTGAAACACTACAATAATAAAAAGAAAAGTCACCTTCAAACTATGGACTGATTCCTGAAAAGAGTTTCTTCATACCACTCAACACATTTTAAGTTAATCAAGAATTTAAAATATTCGCAACTATAGTAGTAGAGTAAAAGTCTACTCGTGTGAGAGGATTAAACGTCAAATTCCTTAGCAAGCTAAGGTAGCTAAGCTAGCTCCTTTGAAAAATTTTGACAAAAATAATAACTATCGGATTTGTCATTTGATAATTGATAACATTATTATGACGTTAAGTTGATGGTGAATTTAATTGATTGGATCAATACTTTAAGGAAACAAAACAGATATTTCTAAGTGAGTAGACGAACCTGGAAAATGTTGACCTCACAGAATTATATTTATTACTAATAATAATATCGCTTTAGTACTTTATTATGATAACCGTTATATTTAGAATGAAACCTACAAAATTATTATATCACAGTTTTGAAAGCTATAACAAAAAGGCAAAGGATTTTATCTCCAAATAGCTTGGCGACGATTTTTATCTGTGTGTGTGTTACAATGTTTTCTTTGTACCTATAGATGAATATACATATATCTTCTGCTGAATCGCAGCTCTCAAATCTGTTGACTAATTTAGACGCGGTTGCTTTTATTGCAGAGTCAATTCATTGCTCTTTTTTAATGTTTGGTTTTAAAGTAGATTATAATGCATAAAGAGAATTTTAACAATGTTATCAAATAATCTTATCTTATTAGATCAGTTTTTAAATCTATTTAAATATTCAATAGCTTATTGAGAATACTAAGCAATATAACGTAGGAGTTAAAAACCTGATCGACATATTGTGAAAAGTGTATGTAATATGTAATTATAATTTTAAAACATTTTTATTGTATTGGATGATAACTATTTAGTAAATACCTATACTCAAAAATAAAAATAGTTTGACATAAATTTCCATAGGCTGTAGAAAATAAGTAAATATTACCCTTAAAACAAATATTTTATCCACAAAAAAAAATACTCCGACATAGATACTACGAAAAGTATTATATTAATATACTTAGATAATAATGGTTGCGATTAGAGAAGAGATATTATAATATCATATGGCTTCTAGAAGTGAGTTTTAATGTTAGTGCTGGCAATGTAATTAGATGCTAGATAACAAAATAGAAACGAATTTTTGTTTACAGGATCTCAATTCACGGCAATGAAAACGGCGCATATTAAAATGAAAGCGCTATTACATTATTTTATTCCAATTATTGATTTAACAAACATATTCATTAATCATACTATATTAACGGCCCGTATGCACTGTACAGTGTGGCAATGAACACTTTGTGTAAGCTTACCATTATTCAAAGTCCAACTTTTGCATGATTTCACTACATACGAACCATTTCTCGTGTCTCATTCAATAACCTGGGTTAATATTATGTTATTATGCATAAATTCTTTATCATCATCATCATCAGCCTATAGAGTAAAAGCACACGAAGAAGGTTAGAACCTTAATCACCACGCTTGCTCAAGACGGATTGGCGATATGTCATATGATGCATATTATGAATGAAAAACTATTTAACGCTTCTAATGTAAACTTATACAAAGCGTAGCGGTCTGTTCATGAACGATATAAAACTGTTTCAAACATGTTAGACTGACTTTTTAAGGATCATCTGATTGTGCGTCAGCCCTTCACAGATAAATATGTTTAATTGAAATAAGAGAAGAGTACCTATTCTGTATTAGCTCTTAATCAAAAGTCAACATTTCCAAAATTTATTTCTATGAAGCAGAATATCGGATTATTTTATTTTTCTAATTTCAAATCATCACAAACGTATGAAGCTATAATAAGTAGGTATAAGCTGGCACCTAAACGATAATTAACTTTAAAATTAAATTTATATACCTACTTCAAAGAATTATTATAGTAAAAATTATATACCCTTTTTCACATGTTCATTTATTTATAGATTATTTAATGAGGAAAAATTTAAACCTCGGTATTGACGTCATGACTTTTTTATCGTATTTATAAACAAACTAAGTTTATCCAGGTTATCTGTAATTGTACAGAATATTAAATTATTATTATTAATGCAGGTGAAAATATTATGTACTTTTACTGAAGCTGTTTCTATAAAAAATAAAAATATCAATTTAATATATTACAATCACTACCATAGCTATAGACTGTAGGACAAAATGTAACCAATTTAATTCAACATATATTTAGTATTGCAACAATTTTAACACAAGCATTTTATTAAGTATATAACTGTATTGTATTCTTGACACAAACCTCACTTCCTATTAATTTTATTATCCACTTACTATAGACAACAATTAATTGTAAATGCATGTTTTTTCTTTTTTTATTTCTAATTAGATGTGTTCAATTTATGAAATTCATGTTGAAACTATTATGCCAAAGTTGTATCTGAGCTTATATAAAACCTACTCCTCCTTAGGTAAAGACTTATATCCTGTCTTTTATGTATATTTGTGTCTATAAAAGTTTATTTCCAATAAATATGTTTAATCAAATGTATTTAACTTTAAAAATCTTCCTTTAATGTATAAATTACATTATAGTTTTATTTTTTACCAAACTCAATGATATTTTTCAATGAAGGTGGTATATAAAAACAATTGTTAAGATTTCAACTTATACTTTATTTTTACACAATTTTTAAGATTGTACATGATGCTTGTATTCCTTATTATTTATTTAATCAAATCATTTCTCTATTTCTATAGGTTACAAGTTATAAAAGTGTAGAACGTTTTATTTACAGTACAAAATATTCTCGAGGACAGCCATCACCAAAACCGGAACGAGGGCATAGTGTAAAAAATATGATAAATCATTTAGTACAAGAACTTTATCTTATTTAACTTATTATGCTGATCTTGCTCTACCAAAGATCTGAGTCTTGAAAATGTTGTCGATTTTGTCAAAGACTGTCTCGGCAGACTTTGAGGCGTCTATCCTGTAATGCAGACCTTTCCTCATGTAATAATCGATTAGAGGTACTGTCTGGCTGTGATATGTAGCTAATCTCTTCTGCAAGGCCTTAACATTGTCATCGGACCTTCGAATCAAAGGTTCACCGGTTTCATCATCAGTCATAGCTTTCTTAGGAGGATGGAACTCCTCGTGATAGCTGCGACCGCTCGCGGGATGAATTAAACGTCCAGTGACTCTGCGGACTAGCAAGCTGTCTTCAATATTGAACTCGATAACGCAATCGAGAGCCGATTTCCTTTTAGCCAGGAGATCATCAAGCTGAAATTATCAAGGAAACATATATTAACACAAAGCATTATTCATTATAAATAAATGCTTTTGAGATATTAAAAAATTTGTTTGACTTATTTATAACAATAATCCAAAACAACAAAGAACCAACACTAACATAACAGCCTTTAAAACATGTTCATATTCTTATCTAACTTACTTACTAGTTACTTTTACTACTACTACTACTACTTCAATACTTTGAAGAATAAATAAAATGAGGACCTCTGTACATACCTTTTCAGCTTGTGGCACTGTCCTAGGGAATCCATCTAACAGGAAGCCATGCTTACATTCAGGTTTGTCAAGGTTCTTATCAATCATGTCAACAACCATTTCATCCGACACAAGTTTTCCTTCATCCATAACTTGCTTCAAACGACGACCCAACTCCGAGCCTGATGCTACCTCCGCTCGTAACATATCCCCAGTTGATAAATGGCATACACAGAATTTTTTCTTCAGCAAAGGAGCCTGAATTACAAATGTATTTGTTAATCATTCCTTGAATCTTATGTATATTATATTAATATTACATAACAGAGATAATTTTGAGGATTCATTAAATAAATAAAGAGGTCAACATTACTACATTAATCAAAATACAACTTTAAATAGTTAACAATAGATTATAAAGTTCACTTACTTGAGTGCCCTTGCCAGAACCGGGAGGTCCAAGTAACACCGCTCTGATACCGATAGGGTCATCTTTAGGCATATAGTTAAATTCCGGGGCTGCAGGTGCCATAGTTGCAATATTTGTACGTACTTGAATAAAAGAATTTATAAATCACTTGTAACTGTTATATCGTAGAGATAATAGTTTAATTTAAGATGGTTTTACACTGTAAAAATATCATTTAATTAAGAAGCGGCAGACAGTTATACGTCGACATGTGGCTAAATGAAATTGATATTAAACTTGATAACGTATGTCAAGTTAGAATGCAAATTTACCATTTAATATTAATGACGTTGTCAGTCAGGGATGGCGGTATAAAAAAAAACCACGGTTTATAAGAAAAAATCCAATCTTTAAACACTTTAAATAAAAAGAAATATATATAAATTTTTGAATAATTTTGATGTACCTTATTTTAACAATATGGTATTATCAGTTTCTTATTTTTTATAAGATAAACTTAATAAAAGTTTACTTCATTAATTCACCTTTTTGTTCTCAGGGTACAAAGTGGTAACCTATTAGCTAATTTATTTTAGAATAGATTTTGCAGGTACTCCAAAAATAAACAAAAATAAAAAAACTTGATCAGTCGATGACGTTTAAAAACAAAATAATTTCATATAATCAACAAAATAGTAATAATAGTTAATGAAATTAAGTTTTACTTGAAATTGTTATTTTTTTCACTGATCGATCTGTTGTGGATATAACCAAATATAAAAAAAAATCCTGCTCATAGCTTTCTTTAAATTTGTTTGCATAATCTGTGAGATAAAGTTGACACATTATTTAAAGTTTATACAGTTGTCTGTTATTCTAACCTTAAAATGTCAACTGGCGGTAAATAATATTTATATTTTATTCATTGAATTATAGCTTATTCACTCAGCCCATGTCATGGAAACAATGTAAGTAATAATAAATTCCATATGTTTATTAATAATTGGTAAATTCATTTTGCTTGTTAATATTTATTTTCATACAACAAGTGAAGCTCATATTTAAATTTTGTGTTACGTTATTCCTTTTACTCTAATAGACTAGTATAAACATTTTATGAAGAGTTTCCGATCATTTTTTCAATATTTATACATATTTTTGTTAGCCAGAATATTTATAATAACAACTACTACAATGTTTTATTTTTGAAGACATTGGAAGCAGTTATGGCGCTGGGTGTCATCACAGACACTTACAAAAGAAGAACTTACATTAGTTTTGAACAAAAATGTATTGGAAGCACTGGGTCAGGGGCTGGCCAGTTACAAACCACACAAGACTGAAACATTTTCACAACTCCAAGCTAAGCAGCCTAACCAAAATAAGCTTCTAAGTATAGTGCAAACACTACAGAACTATATTGTAAGTTTACTAGTTTTCCTAATAATATATTCTTATATCTGACTTCTGAAATTCTATAGGAATTTAATTAATTTATATTTCTAGGATGTTGATTCATTTCAAATATGGGAGATTCTTAAGCATTATCTGTGCGATATATCGTATGGTACTCCGGCTAACGCATTAAAAAATGTTGCATTTGTGGATACAAGACCGGCATTCCTCCTGCCTAATGCATGGAACTTTTACTATTCAGAGAGATTATTCCTTCTCAAGCTTCTACAGAACATTGTTGAATTCAAGAGTGATCAGAATCACAAATACCATGAAGTGTTCAATAAAATAATTGACACTATCGGTATTGATAAGTTAAAAACTTCTTTAATTTCGCAATTTGAAAAGGTTTTGTCTGCTTCGCCTCCTCCGAGAAGAATTCAGAATGATTTTGGCAATGATACTATAAGACAAGACTGGGCTCAATATAATTTAAAGGAACAATTGGCCATCCTTCAGATCATTCAACTTATAGCTAATGAACACGCCATTACCGAGACAGAATTCATAGATCTATTCAAATTATTTAGAAAACACAACTTTGCTAAAAGTCAAGGTTACAATGATGTAATCGATGACAGTCACCGAGAAGCATCCTTGAGAGTTATGTATATGGAAGTCAGTTTATTTACAGTTATTATTAATGGAGCTAAAATGTAAGTTAATTTCATGATTATATTCTATTATATAACAAGTCTATTTAAGTCCTATTTATAAGACCCTGGTAATCCTTCTCCGGTTTAATCCAACACCATTTAAAATCTGACATGGCCGACTATTCATTATTGAATATATTTTGATAATATTTGGTGATGCATGATTTAATCATGAATTTTCATGTTGTATTTCATAATATATGTATTTTGCTAAGTACAAGAATGAAAGATGGACCTAATAATATAATAAAACGATCTACCTACATTATACTTGACACCATATAACTAATACACAACATATTATACATTTCTATGAAGTTAGAATTATATAATTTGTGGATATAAACCAAATATAACTAATTTATGTTTCAGCAAGAACAAATCATCATGGATAGATAAGACAAAGGAAAAAGTAGAATGTGAGTTAACAAAATTGGAGCCCAGTGTGGAACACAGCCTTATGTTGATTACTTGGATGATGTTTACCTTACAGGTACATAAAATATATTAAGTATTTAGTAGTATGTAAAACAATTACCAACTATATCTATTATTTACTATTCCAGAGTGAATCACATGCAAAATTATTTGAGACTCAATATCATACCTATGGTTCAACAGCTCTTAAGATGAGAGTGTTTGAATTCATTAAACAGATGTTGAACAATTCAGTTTTTTCTGTAAGTATATTCTATTAATACTGTAATTTACAAATTTTAGTGTATGTCAGTATGTATAACTAGCTTTCCGCCTCCAGCTTCGCCCGCGTGGAGTTCGGTTATATCCCGTTTTCAAGAGAACCTTTCAAAAGTCTGGGATAAAAACCATTCTATGTTCTTTCTCGAGGTCAACTCTATCTCTGTACCAAATTTCATTAAAATCAGTTCAGTGGTTTAGGTATGAAAGTGTAACAGACAGAAAGACAGAGTTACTTTCGCATTTATAATATTAGAAGGGATAAATGTTAATTTATATTAATTTTCAGGATGGATCGAAATGTGCTTTGATATTTCGTTTAAGAATATTTCAACTATTAAATGAGTTGTGTGATAAGTTTGATGGTGATGGTACATTGAGTCACCAGCCTGGCATCATGAGTTTGTGTTCCGATCTCTTGAGAACACCGATCATCGCTGAACAGTTTTGGATGTTGAATCAAAAGGATGATCTGTGTGGTGTTGTATCAGTATGGAACACAGCTTTAGAGTATTTTCCGTATAATTTCAGTGCTCTATCTATTTTGTCGTCAGGACTGGCTGAAGCAGGGAAGGATAGTGTTAGAAATGTTAGTATGAAATTACAATACAGGGTGACTGGTGAATTACTATCAATACTTGAGGACGTGATATTTGACGATCATATATGACAAAATAAAAATTAATATAACATAAATATTAATAAACTTCTAAGTAAAGTTAACCAAAAGTTATGTAATTAATTACGCATCGTGTGAACACCCTACAGATTAGGTATACACACACACGCACACACACACACACGCGTGCGGCGGCGTGGTGTTGTATCAGCACGCCGCCGCACGCGTCCACACTTGGAACACTTGGAACGTGTCAACACTTTATTTATTTATACGGAAATTTTGTCAAAAATTAAGTGCCTATTTTTTTTACATAATTCGAATGAGAATCATGTACCGAGTATTCTCCTTAAATATTGATAGTAATGCACCAGTCACCCTGTATATTCTAATATTAGAAATCATTTTGATACAAATTTAATGCAAGAATTTTCTATTTCAGTTAATAGCGGAACTCAAAAATCTGCCTGTGTACACCGAGATCTTTAAACCCAATGAGTTACCCATAATGCTACAAGCTGATGATGCGATTATTGGTCGGGAGTATTATCCTTTGGGAAACCAAACGTACAGAATTGAAGCGGGCTCGAGGGCGACCATTATGGAAAGGAAAGACAACACTATGATACATTTTCGTACTCCATACTCATATTGGACTATTTTCAACAACGAGATAGAAAAAGCTTTAGACCGAAAACAGAGCCACCAGAACATTAATATCACGTTGGAACGAGTGTACGAAGGAACGAAGGTTTTGAGGGCCGTTTTAAACACTTTGGCTGGTAGTAAAGAAATTCCCAAGAATCTAGTTGCACCCAGCGAAGGGGTTTTTGATGTTTTGGTGAGATTCATGCGATCAGACGCGCCGCCGTTACCGCTGCTGGTGGAATGTCTACACGTTTGTACATCTATAGTACCGGTATTTCCTAAAGAAGTTCATTTGAGGTGAGCATACTACGACATTCAGACCTATCAGTATATTTCCTTATAGGAAATGTTCAATCATAATAATATTCATAATATGAATAGATGTAATGGACTTAAAATAATATTCTCTTAATAAATTTAATTCCTTAGTAAAATCTTAATTTCAGCTAAGACCTTTGAAGCTATACCGTCATGTCATAAAAATACTCAATAATAAAATTCATATGATTATTGAATATTCAATTTAAATAATGATAGGGAATTAATGCTTAATTAGCTGCGCACCGCGGTGTTACCCGCGGATTTCCGGGATGTAAAGTAGCCTATGTGTTATTCCTGGATGTCAGCTTGCTGTATACAAAATGTTATCAAAATCGGTTCAGCTGTTTGAGCGTGAAGAAGTAACAAACATACACATACACTAACAAACTTTCGCAATTATAATATTAGTAGGATTAAATTGATATCTCAATGTATGTGTTTCAGACTTATCAACACAGGTTTATTGCCTCGCCTAACTAACTCCCAGCTATCCGCCCAGCAGTATTCGTCAGGGACGTCATTAGATTCAGCAGCGGTTGGTTCATACCTCATCACTATGGAACAACCGACAGGCACATACAACTTTTTATGTGCCTACATTGATATGCTATGTGCTTTTCATGAGGTAAATAAATGTTTAAATGAAATATATTAACTTAAACACTAGAAAATAATGGACGAATTGGATTATAAGTCAAATATAAAATGCATATACCAGAGGTTGTACTGAAAATGTTATTTGTTTTACATCCTTGAAGTTAGTATTATAAACATTTGGATATATGAAATTTTAATCATAATATTTGACTTCATCATTAGTTGTTTTTTTTTTGTATTCTCTGAAACATCTTTTATTGCCCTTATAAAAATTATTGACTACATTCCAGGCATCAGAAGATGACCGTGTAATATTAGAGATCATTCTACCTGGTCTAGTCGTCATATGTCGCGAAGTATTCCCGAACATAAGCGGCTGGAGATACGTCAGCACCAGTGAAAGAAGAACTCTTATACAAAAATGCGCCAAGTTCCTGACTTTAATACTACAAAACACAGGAACGAAATCCAGCGTCATGTTACTAAGGCAAACCTGTGTTTACAGTCTTACACACACGGAGAACGCTTTAGAACTACTAAAGATAATATCCATCGGTATGATAATTAACTAAACATTGGCTTTGAAGTAATTAAAAAGCTATTTTATAAAGATTATAATATAAATGTCTATGATATTAAAAAGTTCTCATTGAGTGATAATACCAAATGATTTCTGGTTTATATAAAATATTGACAACAAATCAATATTAACAATTGAACCAAGTATTGCCTACACTAAAAATAACCATAGATAATATTTATATAATGCTATGATAAAACAACAGTGTTTATTTTTTAAACGAAACTAATATATTCGGATTTAACTTCGCGTTTTTATTTTTGATTATAAATTACATACTCCCGACCGAAACGACGTAACCGTGATCACGGTTGCTGAAAAGTAGCCGAAACGTCCGGAGTATGTAGTTTATAATCAAAAATAAAAACGCGAAGTAAAATCCGAAAATATTAGTTTCATCTAAATGAGTACTCGCGAAATCTTAGATCTCATAATATTTATTTTTTGTAGGCAACGACCGTTTGGAGCGACAGATTCAAAACGACACTAATTGGATATCCGGACCCAGTTACCAGTACACGTTCACTCTCCAGAGATGTATAGCGATCGTGATGTTCGCTCTACGACAGAAGACGTTAGTGAGCGGTGATAGTGACGTCACTCCTATAGAACAACTGATATTCGCTCAGAACAAACATAAAGATGAACTCAAAGTAGTGCCGAAAGTCACAAGCTATATAAACCACGCCTTTAACAAAAGCTTGTCCGTGCTGAGTTGTCGACTGTTGAAGAGATTCGCTGATGTAAGTTTTATGAATATATATATTGAAGGACATATTACATGTATCTTCTTTTAGGTACTTCCGCAACAAAAATCTATTTATTAGCATTATACAGGGTGACTGGTGAATTACTATCAATATTTAAGGAGAATACTCGGTACATGATTCTCATTCGAATTATGTAAAAAAAATAGGCACTTAATTTTTGACAAAATTTCCGTATAAATAAATTAAGTGTTGACACGTCCCAAGTGTTCCAAGTGTGGACGCGTGCGGCGGCGTGCTGATACAACACCACGCCGTCGCACGCGTATGTGTGAGTGTGTGTGTATACCTAATCTGTAGGGTGTTCACACGATGCGTAATTAATTACATAACTTTTGATTAACTTTACTTAGAAGTTTATTAATATTTTGTTATATTAATTTTTATTTTATCATATATGATCGTCAAATATCACGTCCTCAAGTATCGATAGTAATTCACCAGTCACCCTGTATAAGGACATAATCTTCATGAAATTTAAAAAACTGTACAAATATGATCTGTATATGCTGTTGATTACAAATAAATAAATAAATATTCAAGAAGGATACTTAAATTAATTAATGATTCAGAATTGCATGTCCTTAAAACATTCATTTGATTTAAAAAGAAACGAAGACATAGTTATAAATAATGATGTAAAGCAAGTTAATATGGAGAATATAAATTTTATTTCATATATAATTTCTTTCGCAGGGTTTTCAAATGTCTTTGTTCGCGTCTTTAGACATGACCGCCTATCATGTGAGGGTCATGTTCTTAGACAGATTGAGGGACGAGTATGAAACGCTCGAATTGAAGATTTCTATCTTAGAGTTTGTAGCGACGTGTATAGGAAAACAACCGGGACTCACTGAGGCGTTCTTCATGATGAACTATGAGAAAAACAACGACGTAGAAGAAAATAAGGAAAAGAAGGAAAAGGAAACTAAAGATAAACCTATTACGGATGAGAGCTTTGAAGGCATATTAGGCTACATGGCTGATTACCTCGGGACAGTCAAAGCTGTAAGTATTGTTTATACCAAAAACAGAATATAAATTAATTTAAAAATCAATTACTTTACCTTCCATTATTTTTGCAGGATGCCAAGTTACTCCACAGTCCCCTTTTAGCTTGTATGATGGCTCTGTTTCATGCGATTTGGAAAAATAACATGCAAATTCTTGTTAAAAAATTAAGAGAACATCCGAAATTTTGGGAGCACATGACCAGTCCACTGTTCAGCGAAATACAACCGGGGCTGAGGACTTACGCTCAGATATTCAACGTACTCGGCATAGAATTATTCGTGTCGCGAGGAAAGCTCGAAGCGAATTTAAGGGAAATGCTGGAACAGTTCTTTGATACTAATAAAAGGCACTTGGACATCTGGATAGATTACATATTTTCTTTCAAAGGAAGGTTCGATGAACAGGAGTTGGTGGATAAAGTTCCCGTCTGGCTCGGACTGCTGACTTCATGGAAAGATTTTACTACGATTTTCTGTAAATGTTTACCCATCAGCCTGAATATCGCTCACAAGGCGAAACTTGTGGCGCCCTGTATGAACGCTCTGTTGAACGAATTAGACGATTTGAAGGACGGGAGATTAGTCGTCATATTAGCTGAGTTGTACGTTATAATGTTAGCCAATTGGAAAGACGATTGCTTCGACAACCGTAAGACTAGCGCGAAGCAGGTCGATAATCTACTCACTAACACAGCTATTGTTTATGAATGTCTACATCCTAGAGCCATCCGCGCGATACTATCCATAGGAACGGTAGCCATCAGTAGTCTCGACTATGAAATCAAAGCGAACAGCGTCATCGCACAGAGTATCATACGTTCAGTTACGAATATAAACAGCTTGGAATTAGAAAAGTTATTGGATGACGTCAGAGATAATAAAAAAGATGAAACGAAAAATAACGAGTCCGATGAAATACCACCCATAGTACTCTCTCTTGCGATGCTGGAACAATGTCTGGATCTATACGACGACATGTTCACGGGACTATCACAGTGGTTTCAATCCACGAAATTCGTAAACAAGTTGCTGTGTTGTTTACAAATCTGTTTACAAAATCGACGTCACTATCAAACATCGCTGGCTGCGCTGAGATGTTTGACATCGTATTCGCGAGGACCTTTCTCCAAGGACTTGCTCATGAGCGATATCGACCAATTCCTTTGGATGCAATTACTGCCACCGAGAATAGATAATACTAATAACAACGGACAAGTTGGCTGGAAGGTTCAAGAATGGTGGCGAGTGTATGGATATAGCTTGGACTTTATATCGATGACGTTGATGAAGCACGGCCAGTTCTTCGCGGGAGACGCCATCACCTTCGTGGGAGTTCATCTCGAGCATTTAATAGAAGCAGTGCTTCTGCCGCGACAGGTCAATGACCTCGACGCCCTCAACTTGTGCGCCTCTACTTTGAACCTTGTTGTCCAGTTGGTGAAATTTGAAAATAGATGGCGTATTGAAAATATGAATTCTTTGATCGGAATTATGGTGAGCAATGATAGTTTTTATTATTTATATTTTCTTTTACTACAATGTTTCATCTGATAGTTTAAAGTAATAAATATTAGGAATTAATGGCCTCCATTTTAGTTGTAGAATATAATGATATTATGATGTAGTAAAAACAAGCCTTCCGGTCTCAAATATTTGCCGGTTCTAACCAGAATCTGTAGTTTTTAAAAGTTATTTATTTCGCAAATAACTCCTAAAGTGGATGCCGATTATTCGCGAACCCGATCCGATATCATTGCATATTTGTATAATTAAAGAAAAACGTCCTGTAATGTCAAATACAAAGACTAATGCTAATCGTCTAACCTTGTATGTTTGGAAATCGTAATCGAATATTATTTAGTCCTTATTAATTATCCTCTCTTAGTCGTAAAATATTTGCTTTAAAAATGTATAAAATAATTTTCATACTATCATCCCTTTAGCGGCGTAAGTTGCACATTTGCAAAATATCTTTATATAATTTATTAATAATATTATATTTAAGTGACATATATTTTGTTCACAGCGTAGTACTAGCGCGTGTCTACAGCAGTGTGTCATGTTACTCCTCCGAGCTCGCCGGCCGACCGAAGCCGCAACCCCCCACCCCTCGCTGACCCCTCAGGTGTTGGCAACCCCAACCCCCGCACAATCACTCACCCCACACCCTTTAATGACCCCACAACTCTCAACGACCACAAGCAACGAAGACGCGCCAGCTCATCTCCATAGGTGACTAGCAATATATTGTATTTAACCTAATCTTTATATACAGGGTGACTGGTGAATTACTATCGATACTTGAGGACGTGATATTTGACGATCATATATGACAAAATAAAAATTAATATAACATAAATATTAATAAACTTCTGAGTAAAGTTAACCAAAAGTTATGTAATTAATTACGCATCGTGTAAACACCCTACAGATTAGGTATACACACACACTCACACATACTCGTGCGGCGGCGTAGTGTTGTATCAGCACGTCGCCGCACGCGTCCACACTTGGAACACTTGAAACGTGTCCACACTTAATTTATTTTTACGGAAATTTGGTCAAAAATTAAGTAGCTATTTTTTTTACATAATTTGAATGAGAATCATGTACCGAGTATGCTCCTTAAATATTGATAGTAATTCACCAGTCACCCTGTATATATAATTCTTCTATGAGTGTTTATGTCAGTGAACATCTCTCAAACGACGGGACGGATTTTGATGAAATTTTTCGTGTGTGTTCAAGGTGATCTGGGAATTGTTTAGATTCACAATTTTGTCCGCTGGACAATGTTTTTTTAATACATTTTTAATTTATTAGTAGTTGTTGATTCAAACTTTTTTTTTGACATTAGATTTGACAACTAACTAATATGTCAATCATTCTGTCGCACTTCAAAACACGGAGATTTATGGCTTTAATAGGTAAACTAGGTAAACTCCAAAAATATAAATAAAAAAACGTAACAGATATTTCTTGATTATAGGGAGATACGAAGTTCGCCGGGTCTTCTAGTATTATATATATGTGTGTGTGTGTTCCAACATAACAAACTCCCCTCCATACATTTACTGATCAACAAATGAGGGTCACGAATCGATTTGTGATGAAACAAAGATTATTCAGAAGATGTCAAAGTATTTCTAGATCCATTGTTTAGCTGATGTAGTCTATCAAAATGCCTTCCACTCCGTTGAAACTTGATGTGTCATGAATTCCTTACCTTCTATGTATAGTCAAAAGTAACAGTGCCAAATTATGACTTGTGATGAAATATTGTTCCAACAGACCGAATAGTCTGACTACCTCGGTTCCAGTCCGTATTAAATCAAAGTCATGATCAAACTACAAACCGAACCGTAAGATTTTAGGAAGAAAATATGGGGAGGAATGGATTAAGATCAATTATCACTGGTTTTTAGAAGCCTGATAAAGGATTGATGATTATAATGAACAATTATAATTCTATAGCGTTACATCGCTCGTTAAACCAAATCGACGATGTAAAATCTTTTTTTATTGGCTTCTGTGTAAAAACTAAAAAGTGTTGCATAGTCCAAAACATTCCTTAAGTCTCATTATTTTGTCAAATATTTGATATTCTTTCTTCTTTTGTTATTTGTATTTTTTTCGTAATAGTTTTGTTATTGAAATTTCTTTTGGTAACTTATTTTTTTATAATATTTTTGTAAGCAGCTAGACAATAATTTTTAGCAGTGCTGTGTACGTTTATAATTGGTACACACATCATTTAAGTGTCAGTTTTAAATGTTTAGTTTTAAGTGCTTAATGTATGTATTGTTGATGTGCCATTCAAATAAAAAATATATATATTTACCTAATTATTATGTTATGTTAATTTCTAGTATATATATATATATATATTATGAGTGTTGTTTCTATTCCAGAGTGTTAGAGATTCTCCACATGGCGACCCTATGCCTCCTATCATTCAGTCCGGACCTCTTATGTCTCTTGGCCGACCCTCTCATGGACCTAGAACGCTGGCAGCCGGTCGTCGAGTTACATTTCGGAGCACCAAAAATCTCCCACGAACAGTTCCCGCAGCTAACCTTCGGGACTATACTCTCGGCTATCTGTTTGCTCACGAAATCATTGAATCATGTACGTATTACATACATATTATACATATGTATCATCGTGTTAATGAGAAATGATAAATCTTTTAGTTAGTAGTAACTTTGTTACTTTAAGTGCAATCAATAATTAAAAATACAAATATCAATAATTAAAAATATAAATATTAATAGCGGATTGGTCAATTATTATTTTTATACATACATATAGACTGTTAATGATATCTAACATTTTCGTTAGTTCAGATTTGAAGTATAGTTTTCATATTATATGTTACCCGAAGTTTTGGCTAGTTTTGTCTTAACCATGATGACAGTGAACTGAAAAATGCATATATATTTATGTTAACTCCCCCCTCCCCCCAGGTGTATCAGTCGGAGGAGGGTGGGGGCGCCCGCTCCCCCCGCGCCCGTCGTCGCGCGTGTTCGTGTGCCGGCAGCCCCGCCGAGCGACGCGCTGCCCGGAGTGAGTCAGCGGGCAGCATCTCATCAGCAGCCAGCGCGCTGCCAGCAACCAGCGAGAGGTTGGTCGCTGGAGCTTTAGAGGCGACCGTGACTTTGCTCGCCTCACAGGTACGACGACTCAGTGTATAGTATATAGACCGGCGATTAAAAAAGAATATATCTTCTTGGGTCAAGTCGCAATTGTTTTAAATAATAAATAGTCTAAGATCCCGATATAATGCGGTCTTCACCGAGATGCTTATTTGATGAAACATATTTTATATTCAATCTAATATGTCAATAAATATATTACATATGGGTTGCCTCATAAATTTTAGCCCAGGATATGATTAATTAATATTTTCATATTCTACGTAACGTTTTCATATTCTATGGGCTCCATACTTTCAATTGGTATGGGATTTATCGAATAATCAAACCGGTGAAATAATTAAAAAAAAATCTTTTTTTCATTATTAAATACATATTAATTAATCATATCCTGGACTAAAATTTATCAGGCAACCCATATGTAATATATTTATTGACATACTAGAAGACCTGGCGAACTTCGTATCGCCCTATAATCAAGAAATATCTATTACGTTTTTTTATTTATATTTTTGGAGTTTACCTGTAAGCCATAAATCACCGTGTTTTGAAGTGCGACAGAATGATTGACATATTAGTTAGTTGTCAAATCTAATGTCAAAAAAAACGTCTGTATGGGAAATAGAAAAGGACTGTTTTTACGGTTTTCCCAGTAATGAATCAATTTTTTTCAGCTTTTATACCTTCCCTGAACCTCCACGAACATTTCAAGACTAAGATAAGATAAATCCGTTCAACTGTTCTCGAGTTTCAGCGAGACTAAGGAACAGCAATCCATTTTTATATATATAGAAGATTAGATTGAATATAAAATATGTTTCATCAAATAAGCATCTCGGTGAAGATCGCCTTATATCGGGATCCTCTACTAAAAGTTAATAAATAATTAGATTATAAAAAGCTGTCTTCTAGTCAATACAAATGTTATCTCTCGATGTTGTTGCAGAATGTTTTATTTTATCATCAAGTGTATGTAAACGATTTTCCAGTAATATAATTATACAGTATTACCAAAATTGTAAATATATCAAGTAATTAATTTTAAATGTTTATCACATATTTTTTCAGGCTCTGCTAGCTGTTCGCGACCCTAACGTCCCCGGTCGTCACAAACAGCTCGTCAGACGAGAGCTGGCTTCCGAACTGACGGTGTTCCACGACTTCGTTCGCAAACGGATCCTATGCGCGGCTCACACGCGCCCGCACCTTGTACGGAATAAACTAGGGGCGTGGCCTCTCGCGGCCAACGAAGAGGAGGTCAAAAGGATCGAAGAGGTCAGAAAAATCCAGGATCCCTGCCTCTGTATCGAAGACACGTCCCTGCCGCCGCCACCGCCGCCGAAGAGATCCACACACGACTCTATGAGGGAGTACATTCTGAGGAAGCATTATTTGGACAAATGTGCACAAACACCTACTAAGGAACCGCCGTCGCCAGTGTCTCACTCCACTCCGACATCTGATAAGAAGAAAGATACTTCTAGAAGTTCCAAGCGCGTTTCCTGGGCAGAGAATACAAGGAGCGATGACTCATTGAACAGCTCCCTACAAGAAATAGATCCAGTATACTCAAACCTCACCGATGTCCAAATCAATAATGATGAAGATTATTTTCATTTTATGTCAATAGTATTCCTTTACATCTGTCAGAGTGAATTGTAACTTGTGATAGTTGGTAAGCATTCAATAAATCTTTTCAGTTTTTGTGTTCTTTTTCTACTTGGATTTTTATTTGTATAATTTGTGTGGATTGGAAAGAGTAACCTTGAGTAACATTTATGTAACATAAATATTAGATATGTTATAAAAATTCCAACTACTAATATGGAAAGTAAAAATTATATCCAGATAAATAAAGTACTTTAAGTGTTACGTAGTATGAACTCTTTTACATTAGCTCCGAAGTCCGCGGGATTGGTGGAACAAAAAGCAGCTGTTGCTATTTCAGAACTATTACGGTGTTAATACAGAATTTCGTTAAAACGTTTTAGCAGTGGTAGGGTAAGGACAAACGGTAAGAAATCCATCGCTTATAATAAACAATACTTGCAAAGTTAAAAGACAGGTATTTATCACATTTGTATGATAACAAAATGAAGTCAAATGAAAAAAAAGGTTGCAAATTTTAGTACCTCCCTCGATTTAACCCACAGCTGTAACATTTTTTACTTTTTATATGATTATAAAATGATATAAAAAAATCATATATGAGCAATTAGTACACAAGTGCTAACGATTTAGTTAAAATGAATAGCATAGTAATAGAGATGTTAATAAATCATATTTTTTATTTTGAAGATTGACTCTTGTTTTTCATAAGAATATTATTTTCTTTAGAAACATGTACTAGTATTTACCTTAAGAAAAAATACAAAAGTAGAGTAATTTTTTCCCGCTAAAATACTAACAACAGCTGTCACGTGACTGACATGACAAAATGTGGTTGCGATACAAGAGTTTAAATTTAACGATCACGCCGGGGCTACACCGTTATATAGATAAAATATATGACGAATGAAATTGTTGACTCCGGGAAACGAACACCTGACCATATCAACTAGATTTCTGATACCATACAAGAAAGGAGACGGTATTGCTATCCTGACTTCGGAGGCAGTAATTTAGTCCTAAGTACAGGACATACCTAAAAGTCTTAATTATGTATTTTTTAATAATAAAAGTCTAAGAATGTTTCGTAGTTTTCCTAAAACCTATGGTTGACTGTCAATCGCAGCATCTGAAAGTAGTACATATATACATCTTCTTTTTATTTTCTTACTTGAAAATAAATAATGATATCGTTATTAAAACTCATATTTTTTACAAAAGCCTATAGTAGACTATACGTATGGCGTAGAATACAGTAGAAAAGGTGACCTTTTTTGTGGTTAGTGCCGTAGTGAGTTATGTGTGTGATGGCAATAGATTATATTCTGTTATAATTATTATAGAATTTAAAACACTGTTCAACGAGTTATCTTAAATTAAAAATGTTATTATAGGTATTCTATTTATAAAAATATCATAAAACTTATATTAAACTTTAATCTATTATTTTCTAATATCCCTTTTATAATAGTGGCTAAAATTACTTTCTTTATTCTTCGTATATTTATATTTTTTTGTACAACTTATCAAGTAAGCAATAACTTAAAAAAAAGAGTCTATACCGAAACAATAATGAATTTGTTGTTTAGAGTATAATTACAATATTCTATAAAGGTTGCTGTTTGTTTTATTTTTTTATAAAATATATTACTTACATACTTAATACTTACACAAATTGAAATATAATTTCAAAAACATGTAACATGGCTCAGTTCATCTTTCATTTAAAAACAGATTTTAATATTTGGGTACATTTATTCAACCTTTCGTATTTATTTTGTTTTTTTTTATTTATAGAGAACACATGAAAAGTTAGGTTAATATAGGCTGTGATTTTCGTGAGTACACACAAAAATTAAACAGTGATCACATCTACATATAAACGCTGGGGATAAAAAGTGATATAAACAATACAGCAGTAAAGATTTATTATATCGTTAAATCTACCCGGGGTTATCTTTAGTAATTGGGTACATTCAATTTTTTAAATTTTTTTATAGGCTGTGAGGCTTTTATTAAATGGGAAGAAGTTATAATAAGAAAGTTATAATTTAATTTATTAAATTTAAAATTCTTTTAGACATGTTTGTAACAAGACAGGCTTTCAATAAATTAAAGTTTTTTGAAATTTTTTTTCAACTGGAAGTAGGTATTTGTACTTCCATTCAATGGCAAGTGTAACTGTAGAATAGTCCAATATTAGATATGAGCAACACGAAATACGTTCTACTGATAAAATTACGACGTTGTTAGAGCTTTATTATTTTTCTATCTCTTGTGGCTCTTCAAATTATATTATTTAATCGGGATTTGTAAAAGACCAGGAGAAAAAAATTACTTTTTAACGCAATCTAGACGAATATTTTCTTTGGAAACAATCGTAAAACGAAAAAAAGACTTATTAAACGAGATGAAGTTGAAAGTTTTGAAAAAATATTATTGGAAATCTAACGAGAAAATAAAAATATGATAAGCCGGATGAACATGTAACGGATCAAATAACGGAAGTTATAAATAAAAAAAAAGGGACAGATAGAAGGCAGTAGGTACTCGAATTTGCTTAGTTTTAAAATAATGGTTGTTTGAATCAATCACATTAAGTTAATTAATTAACTGGTTGTCTAAGAAAATCTCCTGATAAACTTTTAAGTCATATAAATTATGCAAACGTTTTAAGTGTTAAAAAATATTTTATTTTAATAAAAGCTTTCTTTTTGATATTTTTCTTATATTTGTCTTCTTAGTTTTCGCTTGACACATAAATCAGTTTGTTCATATTATTCAAAATCTTATTGTTCTAAGTTGTTTGGTAGGAGTTTCAAAATAAACTAGTTCTTTTAAGATATTACTCTACTTAAGAATAACTCGACCAGCGACGAAGAGTGTGATCCTAAGTATGCATCGAGATGGTCCATCACCTTGCATTTTGTGAAATGTGTAAAAATACAAAAAAAAAGTTGGCAGCATCCTTCGTTTTTCAGTTCTATGAATATATTTAACAGAAAATGGTAGGTACTCGTGAATGAGTGAACACGCTCTTTAGGGTACATTTATGATCATCGGAGTCAGACGTCTATGATTTTTCTAACATGTTTAACGGAACTATTCGCCAGACCTTTTTATTTTTAATTTTTGATCTTAAGCAGATTGGATGGTTAAGTTTTTACTTTTTAAACTTTTTCCTTACTCCTCTTTAATAAATTTACTAATCAGCAACTAATACATTATCCATTTTCTCATTAGATCTTTTTGTTAAATTTAGACGTTACTATATGTTTTCTTAGTGAGTCTTTTCCTGTAATACACTTATTACAAACAGGGCCGCGCCAAGCCCAGACAGCGCCTGTGTGCGGAACCTATGCAGCGCCTCTTTTTTAACGAATCTTCATAAAAAACGAATTTTATTTTTTTTACGATTATTATTAATTGTTAATTTTAACCGAAAAAAATGTTATCCTGTTCTACTTAAATAATATTATCAAAACTGGAGAACATTCGGGAATTAAGATACTAAATATGTAGGTAAATCACGTTCGCTTCTGCTTGCCAATTATGTACTGCGAAAAATAAAACTCGAACTAAATTTTTACATATTGATATCATTTGTAATTAATACAATGAATATTATCTTTAAATTATATTAAGAACAAAGAAGCTGACTTTTTTTTAATAATAATAATATTAATATGACTATTCTATATTAAAAAAAAACAACAATAGTCTAACATTTGCCAGAACATAAACATACTTAAATTATAATATTTCCTCTTTTCTCGCTTTTTTGTTTGAGAAATCCTTAATAGTTTCATGTATGTCTATATGGTCTAGTATGGCCTTTTCTATGAATATTGTCGCTGTTAATCTTTCCTGACTCATAGTGGAGCGCAGGTAATTTTATAAGTTTCAATTTCGAAAAGGACCTTTCCGCGTTTGCTACTGTAACTGGCATAGTTAGCATAATTCGTAATGCTATGGTAATGTTAGGGCATACAGCTGTTAAATTGTTTAAATATATAAATTCAAGAATTTAACAACATCATTATTGATTTTTTTGAAGAATTGCTGACATGGCATAATTTCGTCACACAAATCATCGGCGTTAATATTCAATGAATCATTTGCTGAAAGTTTCTCCTATAAACGATGACAGCTATTTCTTAATAGACTTTGACCTTGCTCCTCACTTAATTAAATAGAAAATTAAACACGTCATTGTGATTAGGTATTCAATAAATTAAATCTTTCATCTACGGAGCATGACGCTTGGTCAAATATACAGGGTGACTGGTGAATTACTATCGATACTTGAAGACGTGATATTTGACGATCATATATGACAAAATAAAAATTAATATAACATAAATATTAATAAGCTTCTAAGTAAAGTGAACCAAAAGTTATGTAATTAATTAGGCATCGTGTGAACACCCTACAGATTAGGTATACACACACACACACACACAAACACGCGTGTGGCGGCGTGGTGTTGTATCAGCACGCCGCCGCACGCGTCCACACTTGGAACACTTGGAACGTGTCCACACTTTATTTATTTATACAGAAATTTGGTCAAAAATTAAGTACCTATTTTTTTTACATAATTCGAATGAGAATCATGTACCGAGTATTCTCCTTAAATATTGATAGTAATTCACCAGTCACCCTGTATTTAAAAAAATACATTAATTTTAAAATAGGTTTTCGGATCATTTATAGTGTGGTCTTCGTGTTCATAATCAAAACTCTTTGGAGTTTTACGACGTCTTAGGGGTCTGAAACTGGAACTTTCAAATTCAGTCTCAACGTCTAATTTTTCGGCAATTTTTTTGGCATCACTTACAATTTCTTCAAAATTTATGTCTGTTCTAATTTTTAGCAAAAACTTTTTTAATTCTGTTAAAGCATCTAAAGCAACTTGCATAATTATATCGAATTTTACACACAAAATTTACTTTTGTCAATATTATATCCCATACATTTAGCGAACAAATGAATGAAAAGGTGCATATTTTTTCTGCTAAACATTTAGCGTCATATTTTGTCTTCTGATCATATGATATATCATTTGATATTTCATAAAGGGCATCATAAAGTTCAGGTAAATTTGTAAACAGCGGTTTTATAGTGTCAATTCTGCTTGACCATCTTGTTTCAGATAATGGTTTTGAGGTCAGATTTATGACATATTTTTTTAATAAATGCCATCTTTTAGCAGATGACGAAAAATATTTATATAATTCTTGCACAATACAAAAAAAATCCAGTCGTATGATGATTGAGGTTGGCAGCGTCGTTTAATCTTAAAAAACACAATAATTTAGGAGGCAGTGGTGGCGCAGTGCCCCTATTGTCTTGGCGCCTGTGTGCGCTACACACTTCGCACAGTGCACACAGGGGCGGCGCGGCCCTAATTACAAAATATGAAACCACGTTTTATTAAGAACTAGAAGACCCGGTTAACTTCATATCGCTCTATAATCAAGAAATATCTGTTATCTATGTTATTTAAATTTATATTTTTGGAGTTTACCTTTAAGCTATAAATCTCCGTGTTTTGAAGTGCGACAGAATGAGTGACATATTAATTAGTGGTCAAATCTAATGTCAAAAAAAAAGTTTGGATGGGAAATAGATAAAGGCTGTTTTTAAGGTTTTCCCGGAAATGAATCAATTTTTTCAGCTTTTAAACCTTCCCTGAACCTCCACGAACATTTCAAGACTAGGATAACATAAATCCGTTCAGCCGTTCTCGAGTTATAGTGAGACTAATGAACAGCAATTCATTTTTATATATCTAGATTTCTCACAAATATCAAATTGTCATCCATACGTCATTACATATCTGTCATTATACGTCAATTGCATAGCTGTCAATTGTGTTTCGTTATTCCACGTTTAATAGTGACTGACGTTTCATGTCAAGTCCCACCGAAATGCTGTGGAATGGGATAAAAAGTATCCTATTGCATTTTCCTGGCTCTAAACTGCCTACCTGACAATTTTTAGCTAAATCGGTTCAGCCGTTCTTGAGTTATAAGTGGAGTAACTAACACGACTTTCTTTTATATATACAAGATATACTAAGTAATTTTTAATAATACTTTTTTAATTCACTGACGGCGTAACTAAATATATATGTTGTAAGTTTTGTTTGAGCGCGTGGTTGCCGTTTTTTTTTCTTTTAACTTTATCACATATTTAGTTGAATACTGTAAAATTATATTAATAATTGAAAAATAGTTTTTACAATATAAGAATTACAATTTACAAAAAGTTTTACTATGTTCGTAAAAGTTTTACTAAGTGTAGAACTTAATTCCCAAAATAAAAATATTTGTTTCTTTGATTACAGTAATTTAATTATTTGCTGATACATATTTATAGAAGATTAAGATAATAAGACTGTTTTCATTTATTAAGTTAAAATAAAAAATAACCTTGAAAAAATAAATGTTTACTGGGAATCAGGCATGCTCTAACTAGCAACATTCAACATTTTTAACATGGCCGCATGTTGAACGAAACGATTTTCTTTACTGTTTGCCAAAAAACAATTTATGCGTGTATTGTGAGCGGATATATGCCGATCGGGAAGCCGGATTATTTAATAATTTGTATAACAAATTAACGGTAAGGTCTTGTGTGTCATCCATGTTCTAGAAACATATGATTCGCTGTGTTTTGTATGACGGCGATCGGGTGTGAATATTGTTTGTGATGTAGGCTGCGATCGTAAGATGATGCATCACCCGAACATTCATCATCAGCCGATGTCGGGACACCCACAGCACATGCCGGCGCACCAGCCCATGCCCGCCCACCATCAAATGCCGCACCAAATGCACCGGGAGAACAGGCACGTAACTCTAACTAGGTAACGATCAGCTTTTTATTATTTATTTGCTGTTGTAATTGACCGCTTCGTTTCCTTATTTTACGCATAAGTATACACAAATCTCTTATTTTTAATTTTTCAGTTGAAGTTACTTGAATTCTTATTAGTGTAGCACAGTAACAAATGAATACTTTTACGAATCTTTCAGATGATTTATCTATTTATAACAGCGTTTCGATATAAAATAACCAATTTACTGTTATTTTTATGTTTTTTTTTCTATCATTGTAACTGTTTGATTAGGATAGATTATTTGAAATAGATTAATTTATTTACAAGATTGACTGAAAAAGTTGGTGCACATCTGACAAAAACAAATGGATGAATGTGTTTGTGCAATGGCAAAATCACAAGTTATTCATAAAATGAGCAGTTATTTTATTATTTGGTTTTATTATTTCATATTGAACATATTTTATGTCCTAAGTGGTTTAGTTAAATAAATAATGCAATAAGTAAATAAAATTATATTATTATATTATTTAATGTTTAGATTTCATAAACAAAATATTTAAATAAGACTACTGTTCATTAATAAACAATAGTATTTCAAGTTAAAATATAATGTACAAAAAAATAACTTATTATTATTTGCTACACTTACCTGTGTATATTAAAATTCAATTAATGATGAAATCTTAAAATAAATTTACTGTTTTATTATTCATTTAAGAATTATTATAAAAAATAACAAAATACTAATATTACCATTTTAAATACAATTTTTAAGTGTGATCATTTTTATACCATAAAATATAGTAATTACTTTTGATTATAAATAGTTAATAACATCTAAAATTAGCCAGCCCATCTAAAATTATTAAATTAGGTAATAGTAACCTTCATACATAAACACAGCACTGGCCTCGCAAAAATAAACTGAAATCACATATGTCACTTCTCCAAATATTTTAGTACATATATATATAATATATATTTATATTATTATGACTCCTATCAAATATCTATTGAAACCAAGATGGATAATATGTATTATTGTTGCGTATAACATGCAATGCGTGAGAAACGTTCCAAATAAAAGTACAAATGAAACTTGTTGAACTAAAGTGTAAGATAAGAGATATATTTACTAAAATTTTGTATGAAAGTGATTATAAAAATATGAATTTAAATATGTTAAAGTTTTAACATTAGCAAAAGGTGAATAATGCCATATAATACAAACAAAATGAGCATAAACAAATTAACACAGAGACTTGAAATATAATGCCCATTGTTTTCAACATGATTTCATATTATCAAGACATGCATTACCATAGCTTTATGGCTCCTAATTAACCTGAAAAGATTCTGAATATCAGAATCTCTATATTTAATATATATTACTTAGAAAAAATAATTTGTGTAATAAAAACAAACACTTTTCATGTAGACTTTTAAAATTGTATGAAAATTATTTTTAAAGTTATGTTAAAGCTTAAGAACTTTACAGTAAAAGTGATATCTTATATATACAAAATAATTTAAATAAGTATCTTTTTTATGGTTAAGAAAGACAATTATACTATCATAAAACTTTTATTGGTAAGTCTGTTACTATTTAGTAACATATATAAATACTTCCACATATGTATATACAAAATACATTGTTTTAAGTAAAGTAATATACACCATTGATTTATAATCTTATATACAATATTCATTACAAACAATATTTTAAAATATCAATTTGTATTACTAAAATCATGTCACATAGAAACCCCTCAGTGTGAGTTCATTACCTATCAATCAATTATATGAATCAAGACTGTAAGGTAATTAAAATGAGGTAAATAATGTATTACATTTAATTATTAGGTTATAGTATCTGAGTTTCATTCCTTGATTAATATAATGACGAGTCCCTTACAGACGCTGTAATAATAATAATAGTCGATCTTAAGCTATGGTCACTCAAACATTGACACTATTTAAGTTGAGTCTATGTTTTACGAAGACCGTCTATACAGTGAATGTTGTATTGAGATGCAAATGTTGTGTAATTTGTTGATACGTGAAGGGTCCTTTGCGGCTCTCATTGTGATCGGAACTGGTCGTGAATGGAACATATGACTGTACTTTTGATTCGAGTCTATCCTGTAATAAATATAAGATGTTTCTTAACTATATATCAAGCTATTCGAAGCGATGGCAGTTGTAATAACAGTGTCGCTACAGACGTTCAGTGTAACCCCTAGAAAGTCTTTCGAATTTCTCACGTGGCTTTAATAAAGGAATGTGCAGTGTTTTGTGATTTCATATCTTGGACTGACTCATACCGGGAATAATATTCGTGTATGTATTAATTAAACAACAGGCTATGTTAATTGTAATTTCAAAAAGTTTCTGCATGAGATACGTTTTGCGTGTAACTCGTAAGTTTGGAGACGCTAGCTTACTGGTATTTGTAATGTCTGCGTTGCAAATCTGTTGGGAAATTCAATTCAAATTAACTAATAGTTGTATGAAATACATTGGATTCGATTTTCTTTAAAAACTTGTTTAAACGACTTAAAGTATAAGTTGATCAAGGTGCAGTGAAATATTATTAAATAAGGAAAGAGTAGTTCCTAGTAGTGACTTGATGTCGGTGGTATGAAGACTAATGGTTATTTCCAGGGTGCCTTTGGGTCCGTCACAGGCGGGCGGTATGGGCGCCCACGCTCAGCTCGGCGGCATGGGCGTGCATCACGCCCACCATGGGCGACCGCACACCATCCGCGCCGTACACCATCCGCCCACGCAACACCATAATGTACCAACGGTAAATTATAATAAATTTCTCCCATTAGCGACAATAATTTGTGTTTTGACTATCTCTCCATCCCAATAGTATAATAATATTCATCTGCATCAAGAACTGCTCTATTCTTACTACAAGTTTGCGTCGTCGTACTAAATATGGAGCGTTTTTAGTCTTCCATTTCAATATTAACACACGATAGTATGAAAATAAGTTTGTATGAAAAACTATACACGCGTCGTATTTAGTTTGCCAATAGAGACTTGTATTAGGGATGGCTATACGATATATTAATATAATATATGTCCTAACTAACAGCCGACTCGTCTCCGTCGTCCGTACGGCGGCTACACTCCCGGAGTGGTTCCCTTCACACAGCCGCCGCCGATGCCGCCTCCTACTACGCAACAAAACCACAATGGTATGTATACATCAAATAATCACAATACTTGATCTAGCCACTACTATTTAACTATCTCTATACGATCGTAACACGTCAGTATCACTAGAGTTTTAAGTCGAATTTGACAATCTTTGAAATTTATCACGATCGTGACATAAAATTCGAGTTTCCCAAGTAGTACGATGTTTATATATAATGTTACAGTTGTATCGGGAGTCAACACCAAAACGCCAACACCGACAATCGAAGCCAAAGAGAGTTTAGCGTCCCCCACCGGCACTGAAACTTCCGGCACTGGCACTGGCACTGGCATTGGCACTGGCACTGACGCGGATATTGATGACAAGGACAAGGCCTCGGTTGACGCGACCGACTCCGAAACACGCTCCACCGCCTCGGCTAACAGTAAAGAGAAGACACCTATGTGCCTGGTCAATGAACTGGCCAGGTACAATAAGGTAATATATATATGAACTAGCTTTCCGCCCGCAGCTTCGCCCGCGTGGAGTTCGCTTATATAGCGTTTCCAAGAGAACCGTTCAAAAGTCTGGGAGAAAAACTAACTTATATTCCTTCTCAAGCTCAGCTAAATTAAAATCAGTACCAAATTTCATTAAAATCAGTTCATTAGTTTAGGCGTGAAGCGTAAAAGACAGACAGAGTTACTGTCGCATTTATAATATTAGTAGGGATATGAAATAAAGATTTACAATAATTCCCTACATATATAGTGGATATTTGACAAAAAAAGTCGGGCTTACGTTCAACATTGATATGAAAAAAATAATTAACTAAGTCAAAATTTTTAAAATTGATTATGTTTATTGACCAAATATTATAAATAATACTTCTTCATCTCAATAAATTCTTCATCATGTAAGCTTCACCAGTTCAGCCATGTGAGTTTGTAGAACTTATATTAATAAGTCAACTATGCAAGCACATTTCCTTTAAGACAACCTGTCAAAGGTTATATAATGTATTATAATTTATAATCTAGATTTTAGTGCCCTATATTTGAATAAAATTATCAAAATTAACACTAAAGATACAATTTACAATAAATTTACAAAGAATGTTTTTTTGTACCATTCTTCCCTAAATTATAATATTAACTTCCAAAACTTAGATATTTTTTGCCCAAAAATTGGTGTTTATAAAGAAGCAGTTTGTGATATCTTAAATGCTAAATGTTTTTAACTCTTTTACCTAAAGTGATAATGTATTTGCAGTTTTTGTTTTTGTTTTACTTTCAATTTTAATTTAATTTATATCAATTTGTTTTTTTTGTGTATTTAAGTGTAAACTTTATTGATTTGTGATTTTTGTTATTTTTATTTCATATTACAGTGTTTTTAAATTGTTTGTTTCCCAAATAAATAAATCTTTTACAACACATGATTTATTTATGTAGTTATTATAATTAATATCTAATAACAAGTAATTGTTGATAGATTAAGCATCAGTATCGCCTCACATCAGAGACGGGACCCGCTCACAAGAAAGTATTCACAGTAACACTACGGCTCGGTGACACTGAGGAATACACTGCTGAGGTATGAACTACATACAACACATACATACATACATACTGACATATTGGAAATTTAACAGTTATTTTATTACTATTAACTATGTACAAAGTATCTTGTCATATTGAAATTATATATCATAGTCATATTCACAAAAAAATATGAAGTCAACAGAAGGAAGTGTATGTATACAATCGAGGTTGTTAATTGAATCTCTTTATGAATTGCTGTTTGTTAGTCTCACTAAACCTCGAGAACTGCTGAACGGATTTAAAGATCGGATGTGAAGATAAATATCTTATCTTAGTCTCGAAATGTTCGTGGAGATTCAGCGAAGGTTTAAAAGCTGAAAAAAATTGATTGATTTCCGGGAAAACTCTAAAAACGGCTCCTTTCTATTTCCCATACAAACGTTTTCTTTGACATTAGATTTGACAACTAACTAATATGTCAATCATTCTGTCGCACTTAAGAACACGGAGATTTATGGCTTACAGGTAAACTCTAAAAATATAAATAAAAAGTTATTTATTTATTGATTGAGGCAGTACGAAATCTGCCGGGTCAGCTAGTTGTATTATAAAAGTCGATATTGATATGTATATTTAAGAAAGAAATTAAATAGCAATAATAAGTCAATGCATTAAAAAAAATTGTCTTAATATCACTGTTGATCCATAATGACTATCTTCAGATACTAAAGCTGGTTATTGAATTATGTATATATTATATCTTCTTCTACCTCGCAATTTCCTAGCTTTAGCCAGGGTCTGCCTTACATGTTGTGAATAGTTTTGGCTAACTGTTTTTACGACCGGCTGCCTGCCTGACATCAACCCTCTTTGGGAATGCATTATTCAGTGATGTCTAAATACTATTAGAAAGTGCATAATATGTCTCCGAAAAATCACATTGGTACTTGCCAGGGTTTATTATATGATATATAAGATATACTATTATTATAATTCTAACATTATATTTTTCTAGGGGTCTTCAATAAAGCGCGCTCAGCACGCGGCGGCCAGCGCGGCTCTGACGGGAACCCGCTACCCGCCGCCCCCGCCGCGCGCTCCGCCCCCGCACACACACCACGCACACCATCACAAACACGCCGGTAACTATATATTATTTTATTAAGTACTAACTGCGCCCCGCGGTGTTACTCGCGTATTTCCGGGATGTAAAGTACCCTATGTGTTATTCCTGGACGTCAACTTCCTGTATACAAAATTTTATCAAAATCGGTTCAGCCGTTTGAGCGTGAAGAAGTAACAAACATACACACACACACACAAACTTTCGCAATTATAATATTAGTGGGATATCATACACGGATATTATGGGAATTTTTTGTTTCAATGCTTTATATTACTCAAAAGTAAGTTAAAGAATTTTTATGAAATAACTTATAAGACAAAGAATTTGCTTCTTAAAGATAATTAAGAAGACTACTTAAAGAATTTACTTTATATCTGTATAAATAAAGTACCTGTAAGCATTAGAAGTAAAGTACGTAGGTAGGACAAGAAGTAGGAATTTCAGTAAGAGTACATGTATACAGTATACATATACACTCATACTGAATTTCCTCGAATACCACATTTAAAAAGTTGCAAAGTCAGGTTGATACATGCATATGTGAATATGTACCAGCTATGAGCTAGAATCGTTTAATTCGAATAATGATCTCGATATCTTTAGGTACAGTGATGCCGACGGTGGAGCTGAACGCCCTCGCCATGAAGTTGTGTCAGCCGGCTGTATACACTTCGGTGCCGGCGGTGCCGCGGCCGCGTCGCCTACCGTACAGACTGCCGGCCTTCGTGCCGCCCTACCCGCACCCGCACCCAGCTACACACGCACCCATAGCACCTAGACTCATGGAACCCAGTTCATTATTATATAGGTAATATTATTAATATTGTTCCCTTCATGAAACATCGTACACAGATATATATCGTATAAAAAACCCTCATAGCCTGAGCTGTCTCCTTTTGACTGCATACAAGTTTCATGTCAATTATATTTATTTTCTTTATTTCTGTAATGTTGTTTTTATATTCTTTTTTGTATGATTTTTTTTTTGTGTGTATGTCAATAAAAGTCTTTTCTTTCGTTCTTTCTTTTCTAGATAATAAGATTATTTTATTAATAAATTTTGTTTTTTATGTTGTTTGATAATAGATTACAATTTTCAATAAACGAATCACCTAGTTTTAATTTGTCAAAGACATTCTCAAGAACATCAAAAGTTTTTAGTTATATATATGTATATTAATAAATGTACCCAGTGTGTCAGTTTATTAACATATGTGTGTGTCAGGGTGCGTGTAACAGTGGGCGGTCGTTCGTGGGTGGGCGAGGGGGCGACGCCCCAGGGCGCCAGACACGACGCCGCGGCCCGGGCGCTCCACGACCTGAGAACAGTCGCTGAACATCAGGACAATGACAGCGGTAAATATATATATACTAGCTGCGCCCCGCAGTGTTACCCACGGATTTCTGGGACTTCCGGGATATAAAGTAGCCTATGTGTTGTTATTCCTGGACATCAGCTTCCTGTATACAAAATTTTATCAAAATCGGTTCAGCCGTTTGAGCGTGAAGAAGTAACAAACATACACACTCACAAACTTTCGCAATTATAATATTAGCAGGATGTAGTCCATTTCAATAAAAATTGGCAATCTTGTAAACCAAGCAACTAACCACAATTACTCCATTCTTACATATAATTGGATGCAAGTCATGATCATAATCACATCTCAATGAACCCACCACTGTTTTTAACAATCTTTTCATCACTAAACAACGGTGTATATATATTTATTTTATAAAATTATTTTGAACATGAATATTTATTGCATTTGTCAAATTGACATGACCATTTTTAATTCATCAAAGTATATTTGTCTTTGAAAGATTAGTGGTGTACATAAAAATTATACAATGAACTACTTTTTGTCCGCGACTTTCTTCACTTTACTTTCAAACTTAGAAATGTATAGCTGACCAGTGAAACTCTGTTTCTCCTCAAAGGTAGTAAAGCCGTTCTTGAACTATAAATGGTGTAACTGACACAACTTTCATTTTTAAAAAAAGATATTTATAATCATTTTTATTTGAACTTTAATCAACTCACAAATATTAAAAAGATTTGATTATAGTGTATTCAACAGGCTGTGATGAAAATCAGTCCATCATACAAAATTCCATATTTTTTCTGGTATTTAACAGACAGAACTAAACATAGGTAGCACTAAAAAGTACAAATAAAACATTTTTTTAAATCGTTAGTGATCTCTAGTCTTTAGGGTTTTCTTGTTTTCCCAAGGCTTTTTAGTGCTAGTGGCTTGCAAAAAAACTCTTCTTTCCGTGTTCTCGTTTGCATTCTGCATTTATAAACTTTAAAAAAAAGCTCAATAATGAATACTTAACTAAATATAATAATTATTTTATTTTAATACTAAATCTGTAATCTAATAATTAACATTAAAGTATCTTGAAGAGTACTCACATCACTAGGGGCATAGACACGTCTGTCAATATCAGCTGATCATGTTTGTTTACAAGATTGCCAATTTCTATTGAAATGAGCTATACATAATTATGTTAATGTTTGTTCATGAACATAAGTGTCAAAACTTTAACAAATTAAATCATCATCACATATTAAGAGAGTGTTATTTTTACATTAATCACACGTATGGTAAGCCCTCGAGTCAACCTGCAACATAAATGCTTGATCAAATCTTATTATTTCTTCCCGTTGGTATTTTTTTGGTTTTCGGTACATATTAATATTATTGCTTTTGATCAACTGATCTTCATTATAAAAGTTTGTTTATGCATACACCAAATATTCTTTAAGCTCTGTATTTCTATCAATTTCAGGTGACGCCGGATCAGATAATATGTTGAACTCAGACGTTAAATCTCCTGTGTCGTTAGTACACGAGCTGGCTCTCAAAAGAGATCTGTCGGTTCAGTTCACTGTCAAGTCAGAGAGGGGACCGCCGCATATGAGGGTGTGTATTGAAAAATATAACATTTAGAAATACTTAGTATAGCAAATAAGTTGATATAAAGTTAGATATGAACTTTTTTGACACTAGACATCACCCGGTCTTGAGAACCTAGTGAGAATAGTTGTGTAACTGTAGGTTCAGAAAAAAAAGTGATTAGTGAATTATGAGAATTAATTAGTATCAAGGAATATCAATGTTCCCAGTGGCGATTACTTGGTACATACAGTCACCAGACCACTAGATAAACTCTGTAATTATACTACAAACTAGCTTTCCGCCCGCAGCTTCGCCCGCGTGGAGTTCGGTTATATCGCGTTTCCAAGAGACTCTTCAAAAGTCTGGGATAAAAACTATCCTATGTTCTTTCTCAAGGTCAACTCTATCTGTACCAAATTTCATTAAAATCAGTTCAGTGGTTTAGGCGTGAAAGCGTAACAGACAGACAGACAGTTACTTTCGCATTTATAATATTAGTAGGGATATGCGAAAGAGTCAGGGTATTTTCTTTTCCGAACCGGAGGTAGTGTCTCAAGTGACCATCAATAAAAAAGTGTAATGTGTAATAATGTAATATTGAATAAAGTTATTTGAGTTTGAGTAACTTTCGCATTTATAATATTGGTAGGAATTATGTGATAGATTGTACATATATGAATGATTAATAAGGTGTTCGTGACGCTGTGCACTGTCGGCGAGATGGAAACCGAGGGGGAGGGGAACGGGAAGAAGATCTCCAAGAGACGAGCGGCAGAGAGGATGCTGGAAGAGATGAGGAGGCGCTGGCCGCCCGCGCTGCTGAGGAGCCGCCCGCCCGCCGACAGGAGGAGGCACCCGCCCGCCAAGAAGAAGCCCAGGAACCTTATTAAGGTGGGGGGAAGTTGTGTTACTAGACATACTGAAGAAAATATCTTATACTAGTATAGTTTACGAACTCCGTTTCGCCACCAGATGGCTTCGTTTTATGTAAAATTCGTTTTTTTTGTTTTATGTTTGAAAAAGCAAAAAATTATTTCATTTCACAACAGTTCATTGCTATTTATTTCGATTACAAAAAAGAAGTGTTATTCAAGTTCAATTAAACTTCTGTAAGTAAATGAAAGTGAATCCAAAGTAAATACTGAATCGAAGCGTTATCAGTGTCCGCAAATTATTCATTTCATTGAAGTGCTCTTTGGTAAACCACATTTTTTTGTTTTTTGGTCTGACGTTAACACAATCAAAGCGGATGGTTTCCAAACTCGTGAACACGCAACGTATAACTGCCCATGTGAAATAAAATGATTTTCTAAATTCATCCCGCAAATAATAAAATATTTTTAACAGTTTAAATTACAAACAATACCGGTTTGTCACATGAAATTAACTGAGCAGAGTAGCTGCCAAACAAAGTATCTATCACACAACGGCGCCATCTATTTAGAATATTGGTTTGTAGAACATGCTATGTATCAGAGATGGCGGTGTATGTGCAAAAAGATTTCCCGCTTTTCTGTTGACATTTTACTGAATTTTATTTGCTATAAACCTCACGGATCCCGAGACCTTTCCAACAAATGCAAAACAAGACTTATTTTTGTGTAGTAAAAAAAAAAAGTAAAAAAAGATTTCTTCCAAATATCTAATTGTCATCCATACGTCATTACATATCTGTCATTATACGTCAATTACATAGCTGTCATTTGCTTTTCGTTATTCCAAGTCTGATTCTTTTTTGTTATACTACGTTTTATAGTGACTGCGGTTTCATGTCAAGTCACACGGGAATGCCGTCGAACTTGATGAAAAGTATCATATGTCCTTTTCCTGGCTCTAAACTATCTCCCTGCCAATTTTCAGCTAAATCGGTTCAGCCGCTCTTGAGTTATAAGTGGAGTAACTAACACGACTTTCTTTTATATACAGGGTGACTGGTGAATTACTATCGATATTTGAGGACGTGATATTTGACGATCATATATGACAAAATAAAAATTAATATAACATAAATATTAATAAACTTCTAAGTAAAGTTAACCAAAAGTTATGTAATTAATTACGCATCGTATGAACACCCTACAGATTAGGTATACACACACACACACACTCGCGCGCGGCGGCGTGTTGTTGTATCAGCACGCCGCCGCACGCGTCCACACTTGGAAAACTTGGAACGTGTCCACACTTTATTTATTTATACGGAAATTTGGTCAAAAATTAAGTACCTATTTTTTTTACATAATTCGAATGAGAATCATGTACCGAGTATGCTCCTTAAATATTGATAGTAATTCACCAGTCACCCTGTATATAGATATAGCATGTATATACTTTTTTTGTACTTTTGAAAATATTCCGAAATGTGACATTCATTTAACATTAATTAAACGTCATACGGTAGCTACGTTTCAACTACTGATTGAAGTATCTGATAACTGATAAGTATTATTCTAATATTCCAGGAGGGCGGTGAGGAGGGAGGTTCAAAGTCAACCAACGGCACTCCAGCGTCCTCTGGCGGGACAGACAACCCTATATCCCGTCTGGCGGTTGCGAGGAACGCGGCCCGGGCTCGCTCCCCGCAGTACAAAGTGTTAGAGGAACGAGGAGTGGCGCGGAGGAGGGAGTTTGTGGTGCAGTGTGACGCGCCGCCACACTCCGCCACAGGCCTAGGACCTAATAAGAAAACAGCCAAGAGACGAGCTGCACACAGTAAACAATTAACTTATTTATTTGATCCATCAACATTTGTTCACATCATCACACATAAGGAAAATATACAATACACATAACTTAAAACTAGGTGTGACAAACATTTATAGTTAGATACATCATGCTTGATCATATATTTAACTAGCTTTCCGCCCGCAGCTTCGCCCGCGTGGAGTTCGGTCATATCGCGTTTCCAAGAGAACCTTTCTAATAAGAGGATAAAAACTATCATGATCTTTCTCAAGGTCAACTATATCTCTGTACTAAATTTCATTAAAATCATTTCAGTGGTTAGGTTAGGTGTGAAAGCGTAACAGACAGACAGACAGAGTTCCTTTAGCATTTATAATATTAGTAGGGATTACTCTATTCACCTAGTTGATGTTTTCTTAACCATTGCTATAACACAACCTACTACAATATTTCTGTTCATTTTTTAATGAATAAAACTTGTTATGCCTAATAGTGATGATTAATAATTATAATTATTGTATTAAATATTCCAAACATATCAAAACTTTACTGTAAGAGATTTTTAATGATAAATATAAGTATATGAGTTATGTATATCGATTATTCGTATATCAACGTTACAGACGTACTTCTAGCGATGGAGCTGAGCGCGAGCGGAGATATGAATAACAGTATACAGGGCAACGCAGCAGACGAGAACAAGGGTGGTGTGGACGGGAAACGGAAGGTGGAGTGGTGTACATACTAGAATAATAAACATTAGTATACTAATACAGTAGAAACTCTATTAACCGGACTAATTGTTGTCGATAGGCATTCGGATAATCGAATGTATAAAGAAAAGCTGATTTTGTGCTGTTATATGTTCATTAAAAAAAAATTACAATATGTATTTCGTAATTTGTAATTGGTGATGAATAAAATAATAAGTATAATTTGGTTTAGAATATTTGGTAATTGTCATTTGACGTACGCCACTCTCAACAACACCACTCTCTTACGCTTTGACTTTTTTTTTGTCCGGATTCGTCCGTAGTCCGGATAATCGCGAATCAGTATAACTGAGGGCCGGATAATGAGTTTCTACTGTACATGGTCAAATATAACATACAAATAATAAATATAGTCTACAAATAAGCTTATATAGAAATTATTATAAAATATTTCTATATTTTCTATGAGTATATAAATTTATATAACTTAGTATTGGTTGAAAGTAAACATTATACATGTGTATTGCTCATTATATACCCAGGAGGATATGAATGGCGGCGCTAATAGTGAGGTGAGGCAACCAGTGCCCGGCGTTATACTGATGGACTACCACACGAGGTCGGGACAACCACCGCAACCTAACGGTCAGTACTAGATACTAAAAATATTGATATAATATAACATTAGTTGTATAGTCCGTTAGACTTAGCTGAGTTTTGCATTTGTGTGAGTGAAAGTAAAAGTAGTGTTAGACAAAAAACTTTAAATAGATACATAACATAAGTGCTATAAAATAAGCAAAACTTGTAAAAAGGCCAGATGGAAATATTATGATAAAAATATTGATTAGTAAAAATTTTGAAAAAACTATACAAATTCTTACTCACTTGACATTGTGTTTTCAACATTTCATTTTGCTACCAGTACAAAAAGTGAAGTGTGGAAGGTGCGGGGCGGAGTAAAAGCAGTACAAACCGGTTCAAAATTAGAAAAGAATGTTGCATTCAAAAAATTTACATCTCACCTACACTATCCGTGTGCACTCACGCAAATACAAACCTCAGCTTAAATCAAACACACTATATCTAGCTTCATAGTATATCTACTTAATACTACTGATTTTTTTTTAATACTATCATTTGAGAGCATATTTCCTGTATGTGATACAAGAAAATTCACAAACAAACAATTAATGGTTTAATGAAGTAAATTTGAATAGACGACACGTAAACTTGGTCACTAACCGACTGACGCGCTAGTCGTCTGTTACTATATCTGTAATAATTCAATTTGAAGTATTAAAGTTAGTAATGTTATTTATTGTAGGTGTGAGTGAGTCGAGCGCGACTGCCAACGGCGTCCCAGTGTGTCCGGAGTCCGTGTCTGCGGGGGGAATCCCCGGAACTAACACGCCCGGCGCTAAGGACCAGCTCATGTACTTGGCGGAACTATTGGGATTCACCGTACAGTTCTCAGACTTCCCTAAGGTATGTTTATATATATAATTCTTCTGTGAGTGTGTATGTCACTGAACTTCTCTCAAACAACCGGACCGATTTTGATGAAATTTTTTGTGTGTGTTCAAGGGGATCTGGGAATTGTTTAGATTCACAATTTTTTTTTTAATTAATTTTTAATTTATTAGTAGTTGTTGATACAAACGTTTTTTTTACATTAGATTTGACAACTAACTTACATGTCAATCATTCTTCACTTCAAAACACGGAGATTTATGGCTTTAATAGTTAAACTTCAAAAATATAAATAAAAAAACGTAAAAGATATATCTTGATTATAGGGCGATACGAAGTTCGCCGGGTCTTCTAGTATTTCTATACTATTCTTCGCTATACAGTTTCAGATGTTCAGCGTTACTTCCAGTAGATTTTTGTTCTCGTTTAATTCCTACTTAGCACAGCAATCTGTAATAAACATTTAGCTGTTCTGTTATATGAACCATGTCTGGGAATTTATTCAGTAATGTCTTACAAAATGGCTGAAGCCAATATTAATCGTTTTCAAATACAAGGTGATACTTAAATTATTTTATGACAAATTATAATTAGTACGGCACAGATGGCGCTACTTGTAACATTATATCATAGTTTTGAAAATGTTACTAAATATATAATTTATAATTAATTAATTAAGGTGCTCCGTCACATAACATGACATTTAAAACTTTAACATCAAACTTCATTGTTAATTAAATCTTTCCTACTGAAGAGACTTGATATGTCTGTTCGTAGTTTCAAATTACGATATCTACAACTTTTGTATATCTGTAGTCACTTCCATCTAATCTCAAGAACTGCTGAATCAATATTGATAGGAATTTCATCAATCAGAAAAAAAAGAGGAAGTACTTACTCAATTGGATTTTATGTTTGTAACCCTGTTACTCATAAGGAAAGGGCGATTAAATTATTATTATTATTCGAACTCATCATGTAATAAGGGTTTTGTCCTAACGTGGTTTCATAGTAACTTACGTAACGTAGTTTTCAATTTAAGACCTGTTGAAGGCACTCTCTAAAATCCAAGGAAACTTCGTAAGGAGGGTGACGTCTAAAACAGAATCTATTTAAAAAGCCGATAATTATTACAACATATTATACAGGGTGACTGGTGAATTACTATCAATATTTAAGGAGAATACTCGGTACATGATTCTCATTCGAATTATGTAAAAAAATAGGTACTTAATTTTTGACCAAATTTCCGTATAAATAAATAAAGTGTGGACACGTTCCAAGTGTTCCAAGTGTGGACGCGTGCGGCGGCGTGCTGATACAACACCACGCCGCCGCACGCGTGTGTGTGTGTGTATACCTAATCTGTAGGGTGTTAACACGATGCGTAATTAATTACATAACTTTTGGTTAACTTTACTTAGAAGTTTATTAATATTTATGTTATATTAATTTTTATTTTGTCATATATGATCGTCAAATATCACGTCCTCAAGTATCGATAGTAATTCACCAGTCACCCTGTATACATAGTTGATAAGAAACTTCGATAAATTTTGCAAATAAAATTTACTTATAGTATTTACAAGACTTGGGCTTGTTCAGAACTCACATAAATAAATTCTTAGAACGTACATCGAAGGCAGCCGTAGTAGGTTCTTTTCAAATTTGGTTAGGTAGGGACAGGAGCTTGGGCGGTAGAGGTGAGCGTATAACGCGCGTTAGATAAATCCCTTAAACCTACACCTGGGTCGCAAGTCGCAGGCACTGTTGAAGCTCCTCTCCCTGCAACGCGCTGGACCCGGCACCCGCACGGTGACACGCACGGAATCCATTGAATGCTGAGAAGTTTCGTGTCATATATGTATAGAAATTAATATAAGAATGTATATTTCCAGCGTAACCACGGCGAGTACCTGTCCCTGGTGTCGCTGTCCACGGAGCCCCCGGTCATGTGTCACGGGGGCGGAGCCTCCACCGCACACTCACACGAGCAGTGCGCCCGCGCCGCGCTACGGGCGCTGGCGTTGATGGGGCTAGACGCGCCCACCACCGGGTATGACCTGCACGGACTATTGAAACACTTATAATTAGTATGAGACCGAAGGGTCTTACTTCTTGGTCTATTATGAGTAACAAGAGGACTATTAAAACACTTAGAATTACTATGAGACTGGAGGGTCTTACTCTTTGGTCTATTATAATGAGTAAACTGGGAGGTAGATGTAGATTAGTCAACATAGAGAGTTGATGTAATTTTTTAAAGTTTTTCTTGTTTAAATTATTATGTATATTGATACAAAATACTTACACTTACAATTGCACTATACTTTAAAAAATATTAGTATATTAATATTTTATATTAAGTTGCAAACTTGATTAATGAATCTTATGCTGATTTGGATCTGAAAAGATGCAAAGCTGAGTATTTAAAATGTATACCTTGATGCATACCCAAGCTACTGAACTGACTCCCATGATGAAACTAGCATCCATATCAAGAAATAAAAACTTATAAGTGACTCCTTGTACCAAGTAAATCGTACGTGTCCCACCCGTGACAGTGAAAGTCCCACCCGTGACACACTTTATTTATTTATTGTAAAAATATGTGTGAATAATAGAACATTATTTTCTATTCAAATGTGAAGTTTAGTTTATTGTCTCAAAGAAATATCATAGTCTGCATTAAAAAGTTTTATCAACTAGTAGAGTTTTATTAAATATGATTCATGTGTAACAAGAATGTCACAACTTTGTCCCACCCGTGACAAACATTTACTGTCTTCTTTATTAAATTTTACATGGTGTTATTCCCGTCTTTATTGTACCTATACAAGTACATGGATCAATATTAGTATATTCTATATAAACCAATTAGATATCATTGAAACAATTAGCGTAAATAAGCCACACACGCTGAAAAAAGAGGTACAAGTGTAAGTGTGTAATAGAATCCCCCAGATGTAAAATAGTGAACATAGAGAGTTGATCTTTCCTGAGTTACTAAAGGGCAATATTGGAAAGCAATATAATATAAATATTTATAGAAAATCAACGTACATGTAGATAATTAAGTACACTAGTTTTATTATTTTTTATATATATATTAATTCAGTAATATAATGTTACTTCCAGGTTGCAGAGCATGTCTGCCGCCAAGCCAGGTCCCATCAGTAACGGCATCGTTGAGTGACGTCACGCGGCGAATGTTTTTCCAACCGATGCTTTAGTTTAATTTTGTTTTCTCTATTTTCCTGCAATATATGAACGTGTGAATATTTCACAGCGCGAAATAAATAGTTCGGGACGTGTTCATTAAACGACATCATAGTTTATTTCGTCTTTACCCGGCTATGACATATTCACAATGACATTTGATCTCGGGTCTTGCAACAGTTCTTATTTTTTTTATTGTTCTAAAGTTTTTTTTTGTTTTTTATGTTAGGAAATAAAAAAGTAATAATATGTGTATTATGTTTTATAGTTTCTGTAAAGTACTATAGTCGAGCTGGCAGTAATCTTCGTATCGAAACTCACAAAACTAAGTCTTTATTGTATAGGTACTCTGCATGGAATATATCGGCAGCTTCTGATCGCTTATCTCAATTTATTGTTTTAAGTATTTCTAGGAATTAATTAGGTTAATTAAAATAATATAGTTTCCTTTATGAAATGCAGCTATCTCGTTTATAAATAAGATTGGTATAGTTTCGATAAATTATGGTAGGAACGCGACTAACGAAAAAAGAGGCTGTGGAGCCAAACCAAAAAGGTTTCGTTGGGATTCGGCTGTATTGAAATAAACCGGTACATTAAATTATTAAAAAAATATATATTGTTGTTTATTAGCCGGTTGAAATCCCGACGAAAGCTGTTGTTGCATCATGCGGCCATGGTGACACTAGGTTTAGCTGAACGGTGATCGCCGCCACTCTTGACACACGCAGGGTAGCGGCGATACATAAATTGGCCTCGATTTTAAACTAACGTCAACTGACTCTTTAATGGATTTGTAAATGAGAAGTTAAAATAACATTTCAGTCACATTAGGATTAAGGCTCTATTATAGTTGGACACTTAATATATTTTAACTTTGACTAATTTGTAAGATTGTATCAGTTGTGTTGAACTCCGGACACGAGCCCCTCTCAGTAGCAGGTGTAATCTTCGCGGTAGATTATTTGGTGATAATAGTATCGTTTTATATGCTATGTAATCGTTCGATGACTTGTAACAAAACAAGGATTTGGACGAGGAACAATCTGTGTTTGTTCGAGTGTTTGAGATTGTTGCTTAGATGCTCGGACAAGAGTTTTGTATTAAATTTTTACCTAGATTTTACAGTACTATAGACTTATTGTAGCTGTTAATTGTTGATACTGTTATCAGTGGGCTCGAGCACAAAACTGTACCAACTCGTCTATTCTTTACCAAAAAGTACAGTATACTTAGTAATTTATTTTAAATCGAGGCCATTTCTTTAATTTCTTCATGTTGAAAGTATCACCAGTAACAACATAAAGAAATTGATATTTTTTTTATTTGAAAAAAAGCCACAATGGCGTTAAGAAGTGTTTTATTTATTTTGTTCTAAATAACTAATATTTTATATTATTATATGGGTGGAGCAAGTCCCAACTGAACTTCGTGCTGTTAGCATTGTGTAAGATTATAAAAATAAAAGTATAAAATCGTAACCAGGTCTTTTATTCCTTTACAACCTTTTATTATATACCTATTATACTTTTTACTTTTCTTTACTTTTAATTTCATATAATATGAAATTATAGTCCGTTAGACTTAAGCTGAGCTTTGCATTTGTGTGAGTGAAAGTAAAAGTAGAGTTAGACAAAAAATTTAGAATTACATTTTATTATGTGTTAAATAGATACATAATATAAGTGCGAGAGTTATTCTAGATTAAAAATAAAATAAGCGAAACATGTAAAAGGCTAAATGTTATGTAAAAAAATATTAGGTAATAAACATTTTGAAAAAACAATACAAATTTTTCTTCACTTGATATTGTGTTTTCAACATTTGAAGTTGCTACCAGTACAAAGGGTGAAGTGCGGAAGGTGCGGGGCGGAGTAAAATTTAGAATAAACCGGTTAAAAACTAGAAAAGAAAGTGGCATTCAAAAATTTGACATCACACCTACACTATCCGTGTGCACTCAACAAATGCAAAGCTCAGCTTAAATCAAACGCACCATACAAAACGTATTGTAATGTATGAAACGTTACGAATGCCAGGATGAAAATTATAAACAATTAACACTTTCCTTTTATTATAGGAGTTTTACTTATCATCTAATTGTGATTAAGTAATCTATATTTCTTTAAGACTTAATTTCTAAACATAACTGTATTTTTGCTAAGTATAACAGGACCGAGTACAAAACCTTTATTGTATAATGTAATGTAAATGAATAGTGAGTAAATAGTTTCAAATCTATATACAAGATGTGAACAGTGAATTTTAATATTCTATCTATCTATCTATTTAATATTCTATTATTGATGTAATTTTCCCATAATATTTCGATTCATAGATAGGAAATAAATGTTTTTAAGACAGGATTTTAATTGATTTTGTCACATACTTAAAAATCAATAATCAAGGACCCTTCAAAAGAATTTTCAAAAAACTCTTCTGTCGTTTAATGCGTACCTATCTATTTTTATTAAACAATTATTATCATTCTTATATAAAACGTGTTTATAAAACAAAAAAAAAATCATAATAATTAAGTACATACTTGAATTAAAAACGAATTTAGATGGTAGATCCTAGCTGTGGTTAAGTAACTACAGCTCGAACATGGGCTGGCTTGGCCGGGGAAGTGTCACCCTCTCACAGAAGATCGCGCGGTGTGAAGTAGTCATTAATGACTGCGTTTGCGAATGAGAGACTCGCGTTGCCCTTTCCCCTTTTCCCTTTTTCCACCCTTTGCTGCCTTTTCCTTTTGTCTTCCCTTTCCTCTCCCTCTGCAAAAATCATGGTAGGAAACGCATCTGTGACATTGTTTATGTTGCCCATATCCATGTGCGACGGTGACTACCTTCCACGAAGTAGACCGTCCGCTCGTTTGCCGCCTTGGATATGAAAAAAAAAGAAATAATATTACACAAATAACAATTAATATGCTCTGGACCAAATTATTTTATGTTAGTATGTGGAATAGCCATAAAAAGTTACAAAAATAATAAATGTAAGACAAAAGTGATTGAAAAGCAAATAAGTGGTGGTCAATAAAATAATTTTAAAATTATCTATTAAAATTCCTAAGACACAAAATTAAGTAATGAGTTACAGAATTGTTACTTCTATACCTGAATTTGCGTGTCTCTTGGTTTAAAAACTAAAATTTTTGGTTTATTTTTTTAAAATTTAAGAACATTAAACTTAATTATAAACAAGGTTCGTAATTAACTATGTACATATTTATACTATTCAAGATTCTTTAATTTAATTTATTTATTTTATTTTAACTATTTATTAAACATGTCTGAAACATTTAAAAAAATTGACACAGGAAAAATGAGTTTAAAAGGTATACTTATCCCCAGAAGAGATTTCTTTCAGTATACCCGAGAAAGAAGAAATGTAGACAGAAAACTTAAAAGGTAGACAGGCAAAATCGTACAAAGGAAGAAAAGATACAACAAAAAAATACTAATACTAGACAAAAAGGAAATAAAAAAAAAACATTAAAATTAATTTAACTTAAAAATATATATTAAAAAATAAACATACATACATTAATCTATATTAATAAAGAGGAAAGATTTGTTTGTTTATTTGTTATGAATAGGCTCCGAAACTACTGAACCGATTTCAAAAATTCTTTCACCTTTGGAAAGCCACATTATTCCCGAGTAATATAAGCTATATTATATTTAAATAAAAATTAGGGATCCTTACTAACACTCCAATAATGTAACCCAAGGTGTAAAAAAATGATCTGAAAAATTCCTTACGTCGCGTGCGCTGCGAAAACTATTGATGATAGAACCAAATCATTTACTACGACTTTGCAGAACTCATCATCATCTACAAAAAGTGTCGCGACAGCATATGTCTAAATATTATAGTTATGTCACAGTAAGCGGTTTTTTATTCTAAAAATTTAATTTATATGCCGCCGCTTGAAAAGGCTCTTTATTTGTACCTTAGTATTAATCCTTATCCAAATAAATTACTTTACATTCAAGATAGGCTTCAATACCCTTTTACAACTCTTTGAATTATTCAATTCGGACATTTCATTCGGAAGATATCACGAGTTTAAAAATGCAAGTATTAGAAAAAAGTCGCGTGGTTGCCGCTCATCGCGCTCAGCTAGCCAGCATGCGATGTAGGCTCCATGTAAGCGTCACTGGGGTACGGGGGGGGAGTCAATCACAATTAATATTATAAATGCGAAAGTAAGTCTGTCTGTCTGTCTGTCTGTTACGCTTTCCCGCTTTAACCTCTCAACCGATTTTAATGAAATTTGGCACAGACAATCTTTAGACCCTGAGAAAAAACATAGGCTACCCTTTATTGCAAAAAAGGGGATGAAGAGGTTGAAAGTTTGTATGGAATTTCTTAACTTTAAAAGATAAAACCATGAAACTTTATATTATTAAGGCATTAGATAAGATATATTTAAACATTTGTTCTAGCGTTTTTGAAATTTCGACCACCGAGGGGGTGAAATAAGGGTTGAAAGTTTGTATAGAATTTCTTAATTTTAAAAGATATAACTATGAAAATTTTTATTTAAGCACTTGATAAGACATATTTAAACATTTGTTCTAGCGTTTTTGAAATTTCGACCAGTGAGGAGGTGAAATAAGGGTTGAAAGATTGTATGGGATTTCTTAATTTTAAAAGATATGTAAAACCATGAAACTTTATATTTAAGCACTTGATAAGACATATTTAAACATTTGTTCTATCGTTTTTGAAATTTAAAATCGTTTGTTATTTTTACCACCGTGGGGGTGAAATTCTACACACGGAATTCCCGAAATTCGAACAGAACGGTACAGGAACTACGAAGCTAAACTTTTTATATAGAAAATTTTAACCACTGAACATCAGTAGGAACTAGGAACATCATATTTAGAAGTTTTAGGTGTATCAAGTTAAAAAAAATGGCTTTTGAAGTTAAAGTTCCTTTAAACGAATAGGTAATCTGCATCGCCGCCGCTGCCGTCGGTCGTCGTCGCCGCACAGTGCGAAAGCCCCATGCAAGGCCGTCTCAAAACCCCTTCACATGAAAGTCGTTGTTATGGAGTAAAACTAATTAAATAATATAGTCTTATAAATAAGCTTTCTTTTCTATATTTTTTTAATTATTCTTTGAAAACCATAATTTATATTAAAAGGCATCAAAGTTAACTCATGTTCAATGGTGTTACTTTGGCCCAGTACATTACTTCAATTCAACGCCACATTACTTGAAAGTATTACTAATATTATAAATGTGAAAGTAACTCTGTCTGTCTGTCTGTCTGTCACGCTTTCACGCCTAAACCACTGAACTGATTTTAATGAAATTTAGTACAAAGATAGAGTTGATCTTGAGAAAGAACATAGAATAGTTTTTATCGCAGACTTTTGAAAAGGTTCTCTTGGAAACGCGATATAACCGAACTCCACGCGGGCGAAGCCGCGGGCGGAAAGCTAGTATACAGGGTGACTGGTGAATTACTATCAATATTTAAGGAGAATACTCGGTACATGATTCTCATTCGAATTATGTAAAAAAAATAGGCACTTAACTTTTGACAAAATTTCCGTATAAATAAATAAAGTTTTGACAAGTTCCAAGTGTTCCAAGTGTGGACGCGTGCGGCGGCGTGCTGATACAACAACACGCCGCCGCTTCGTGTGTGTGTGTGTGCGTATGCCTAATCTGTAGGGTGTTCACACGATGCGTAATTAATTACATAACTTTTGGTTAACTTTACTTAGAAGTTTATTAATATTTATGTTATATTAATTTTTATTCTGTCATATATGATCGTCAAATATCACGTCCTCAAGTATTGATAGTAATTCACCAGTCACCCTGTATAAATATATAAATAATATTTATGCCATTTTACCAAGAATTAACATTGGGATAAGAAATACACCTTCAATTTCTCTTTGAAAATGTAGACGCACTTACTAGTGCGCATTGTAAACAGCAGCTAATTTTACTTACCTATTAAGTTAAGTTAAGTTAAGAAAATATTATTTTACTTTATATTCCATTTATACAGCTGGCAATATTGGGTTATGAATGTCAGTTTTCTTGTCCTATAGGGAATAGCTAATAGGTATATAGGTAACATATGTCTTACAACTCTTCATTCAATTTGCAATACGGGAATTTCAACCGTATAAAAACCATTTAACATATATAATTGTCTAATATTATGATATGATGTCATCAGTCATGTTGATGGAACCGGTACAATAACGCTTGTATGAATCATTTTCACCAAAGTATTTCAACTTTATTGTACTATTTAACAAGTGTAAAAATTTGTTTATTGTTTTGAATCTATATAAGGAATGGGTGAATTCGTAGGTAATATTTTGTATTTGTATTTTGTAGGTGAAACATTTCTGAATGAAACCATTTATTCTTGTTACAGAATTTGTAACAGGGCCTGCAAATAAAAAGGAATTTTATGAAATCAATGCACAAGCTTTAGTATTTTATGTGAAGGGAGAACAAATTGCTTCAATAACACTATCTGAAAAACCTGGCTTTCAAAAACAATATAGTGTAAATATACATAGTTTCTTTTCCATTGTTCTAGCAAGTTGCAAATTGCTTGTAACTTGTAATAGAAACACTGAAAATGTATATTCTGGTCTGTTTTAGGTTGTCTTCGGCGATGATCAGTGTGCAATTAATGAATATAACGAAAGTGTCTCTGCGGTTATTCCAAATATATTATCTAAAAATCAATATCAAAGATTCTGGATATCTTGGTATGGTAATGAAATTAAATTTGGTCGAAACAAAGATGGAAGACCAATCCTGACAAAAAAAATTCGTTTTAAATGTCATCTAAACTGCATAACATTCTTTCTCTATGGAGGTTTACATAAAAGAGATCAACTACATTGGAAATGCTTTTGTGAGTGATTGTTTCCATCATATTATAGCTAATAACAAATTTATTATGCTCATATTTATGTTGCAGTGCCTCCAACAATACCAAATATTCAATTAAAGAAGTTTGAAGAAGGTAAAGCAGAGTGGGTTAAAGCGGGAGATCAGTTGCCAGATAATGCTGTGATTGGTGGATTTGAAAATGAAGTATTGTATATTGTGAGGTCCAAACACCGACGATCATTGACACCTGGAAAATTTGTACCTTCGGAAGGCATCGGTTACATTTCATGGGGAGGACAAGCGAATGCTAAGGCTGGAGAGAATCTAGAAGTAAATTTTATTAACTACTTCCTGTTACTAAATTTATACAGAAATATCCAACATCTACCAAATTTGTGTTTTGTCAGTGAAGTACTAACAGTCGGAAGCTTAAAATGTCACTCACAAACTACATAAATAACAAAATATTCAAAGACACATATGTGTGAAAAGAATTTTAAATTAACTTGTTTTATATAATGCATATTTTTTGTCTTTACTAAATACTATCACAAAGAGAAAACAAATTCACCTAATCAGAAATCTGATCTTTTGCTGAAAAAACTTTGTAAATTTTGCTGAGAATAATATTTATCTAATTCTATATTTACTATAGAAACATTTTTCTGTTTTTGAATAATTACATTATGTTGTTGAAATTTCAGATTCTTTGTGGGTATAATTTCGTTTGGACTAAAACTAATGGGGACAGCATACCATCGGGGGCCATAGAAGGAGGTTATTCCGAAGTGAATCATGAAATATTATATGTTGGTCGAGTAGAACGCAAGGGATGTGTCATACCAGGCAAAGTTCAGCCTTCACACAAGGTCTGTTACTTCTCATTCGACGGCCGAGAAGTACCGAGCAGGGAATATGAGATCTTAGTTCTTCCCTGACCAAAAAACGTCCTTTGGATATTTGCTTAAGAAAAATCAGTGATCAAAGACACATATTTGAATAATTTTAAGTAAGAACAGAACTAGAATTTGGAAACATTATTAAATTCATATTTGTCATGTTTATCATATTATGTGATTGTGAATGATTTATTTTTTGAATGTAATATTGTGATTTATGGAATGTGATAAAGTTAAATGAGTTAATTACTAAATATATATTAATAAATTATATTGATAATATAGACCTGTTAACATATTAGAAGATATAAAGGTAATTATAAAATATGTTTCACCGGAAATAAGATTCATGTAATATTTATTGTTTGTTATATTTGCATACATTGTTAAATCATTTAAAACTGTATTTAATGAAAGATATAAATAATTAATAATAAAGGAATATTTATTTAGAATTTTTTCTTATCTGAAATGTAATAATTTAAATTGCACATTGTTTGAGGATAACAAGATGAGGATAGTGATAATAAATTAACTAAAAAAATTAAGATTTTTCTATATTTAAAAACTAATAATGAGATTTTTATCAAATTAATGGCAGTCATGGACCTCAATATTTCTCTGTTTATTTTACACAAAAGACTTAAATTTGTGAAGAAATCAATTTTTTCCAACAATAAAATACTTATTGTCTTACATAATTTAATGTCCCAAAAAAATCAAAATTTTTTGCTTTCAAACCATTTTCGTTTTATTGAAATAAATATGATAAAAAGTCTAAAACTTCCAGATTTTTAATTTTACTTTTCTGTCTACAATCAATGTTGACTGCAAAACTAATAAAAATAGATCACTGAATGAAACCTAGAGCCAGGGACCGTAGAAATCTCTAAAAGTAGTAGTAAAACGAAACGAAAATAAAAATCACTGTACATATTATTAGTGAATGGTGATATTTATTAATTAATATCTTCATCAAGAAGACACTTTTTCATAGTTATATGAGTGAAACGATGTTACTCAGAACTTTAAAATTTATCAAAGGATAAATTCAAAATTTATCAGACAACATAGACAAACAATAATTCACCCAAAATACTCTGGCCGGTGATATTCTGAGATATTTCTTTTTAATTTCAAATCAGAACTGTTTTACTGACATTCTTTAAACACAATCCGACGACCGGCAATATACATAGTGATGTTTTATATGGAACAATATTGAAAGAATTGAAGGACAGTTTCTCCAAAAATAAACTATAAAGATGTCTGAGGCCGCCCCGTCAGGTTCAGCTTCCGAGTTTGCAGCTAGCGAGATGCCGCCTTCTGTAGGCCAAGGTAAAGGTGGTTTGGGTTGGTTCACAAGATTTCACGAGTAAAACATTTAAATAAAACAGCATTTTCTGGTCGAACTTGAATATTAGTGTAAGACACTGTGATGTAATGGTATGTGTGGACCAAACACTTATCTAGCGTCTCTTGGAACAAAATATGTATATGTATAGCAACAATATAGTGAGCGTGACATCAGTTTTTGAGAGAACACGTAGTAACTGAGTGTATGTAAAAATTTTGGAACTTGCTTCATTTTAACTCTAGTACAACTGTTTTCCAATGAATGAAGTGACCACAAAAAAGTAATTTTTGTAATACCTACACCTATTTAAAGCCGTCTATGATTTTTCTGGTGATTGAAGAAATAAAAACAGAAAAAAGGCATTATAGCTAGTCGCGACTTATTCAAATATTCAATATAATCCTATTTTATTTTACTAAAGATTTAGTCTTTTAGTTTTCTGTTCCTAATTCCGCTATCTATGATATCCTAATTTTACTTAACCTAATTCTTGTTTATTTTGAATCCATTGGTAGGTACTTATACTCACTTTTTTTTTGTTTCACCTACATCTTACACATATATTTACTGTATAGGAATAACAGTTTCACGAAGTTTATATATGTTGACCAAATATCGTGCCACTAACTAGATGTCTGTAAATTATTTAAGAGACATGTTTTTAAAAAGGAAAGTAAACTTTCGAAAACATAGGTTTTTTTTGTAAGTTTTCTAAAATTGATTTTAATGTATTAATAAGCAATACATAACTGTAATACTAGCATCCCCGGGAGGCTTTCCTCCGTACCCGCCATACGCCACAGAGCCAGCGCCGCCTTCTGTGGCTGACACCATCATGGCTGGTCGGGACCTTCGCGTTCAGCACAAGCAAACACCCAAGAGATATGTGAGACCGCCGCCAAAACCAGCCAGACCTAGGTATTCACTTCTTAATACAACAAACGAATAAAAGATTTTCTAATCATTAACAGTATAACTCACATTCATTGGTGACATGTCCCATACTTCTTTATTAAAATAATAAGTTCATTAACTATTTTTCTTCATAGACTTTAATATTTAGAGATATCCACATTTTTCCAGAGGACCAAAGGCAACAGATGTGAAGCTCTCAGCTCGGGCTGCTCGAGCTCACGCTCGCTGTTTGCGTCGCCACGGAGCCGTGCTAACCGATCGACTTGAACGAATTTCCAAGCCTCTTAGAAGAAATATTATTTACTTATGGAGAGAACATGCAGAAATATTACCACCTGATACTGTAAGATACCTGACGAACAGAAAATTAATATGTACATGGCTTTGTGGAATAATATGTGACTATATATAAAAAATACTACGTTTTTCAGATTTCTCGTTTGCGAGGAATGTTAGATGCTGATGAACCTTTCAAACCGGATCAGGCCTACGAATACTTCGTCAATCTACGAAAGACTAAGAAGAAAACTGCCATGTATTTTCCTCTTATTATTAAGCTTAGGTTTAGATTTTGTAGACAAAAAACTATAATAATACACTTGCAATATAGGACACGGGGAGTGAATCAAGTCAAAAAGGACATGTTAGCAATGTGCGAAGACAAACGGTTCGTGTGGGCTCGAAATGCTACAGTTGCTTTCGCCCGTGGAATCCAACAACGACTGTCAAGGCCTGGTGCATATGCTCTGGCAGATGGGTAGGTTCAAGGATACCAGCCAAATCCAAGATTGTTTTTATAACGATTCTTATTAATTATAATATTTTATCAGGATGTTGCGGTTATCAAATATTATATTGGATGATATTTGCTCGCATATGCACACCAGGACCCCGTCCAGACGCTCTCAGCATCCTAAAGCCAAGTTTCTGATGGAGATGTCGGACAAAGTATGGGATTTGTTTTATGAATCGTTTTCTTGTTTAAAATTATTTATTATCTTTTGCTTAAGGTCTTTGCTTTAATACGAAACACTATACGAATAAATTTTGTGCTGATATTATTATGTAAGTAGTAATTTTGGTTCTTTGTAAAGGTCGCTGTTTGGATCGACGAAATCCTGGCCGAAAGTGAAGACCGCATGTTGATGATGGACTTTGATGAAGATGAAGGTTAGTATTTCAATAGATTTTAGTTAACAATCGACAGTAATTTGTGGCAGTCTTTTATAATCGTTTTTAGGGATACGGTAATTATCGAAATTGAGTTCCATCAATAATTCACAAAAGACAAAATCAAACAGAAATTGATGTGACGATTGCATTCAAATTCGATTTTTTTTTGCCAAATATTTAATTTCCTCTATAAGCTAACTCGCAAATCTTCGGATGTTGCTCGGATCACCATTCTTGGCCTGGTATGTTTTTAATGTTAAATCCTTGTGCGTCGTTGGACGAGAAGAAGTGCAGCAAGCGATGACTGCACCCGAGGGCGTGTCCACCCACTCTCTGACGGGGCCCGGCGCGGCTAGTGACGCTACTCCACCAGCACAAACACCGATCACCACTCCCGCTTCCACTCCTGCCACCACTCCCGCCACAACCACAGCTACCACCCCTGCCACATCGACCACAGAAATACCCAAGGATAAGGAATAGATACGTAATATACCAGGACAATACCAATTATGTGTTCATACTAAGAGTTTCCTTTTAACTTCGAAGATTAGTTACTATGCTCATTTATTAGATTGAGATTCATTCTTATTGTTTCAGATTTATTGGCAGCGGGTGAAGCAGGAAACATTGGATTTACAGACGACTTCCTTAACATGATGGGCGATGTGAGTATATATTTTTTATCAAAACGTATTAAGTATTATAACATGACATATTTACAACTTTATCAAATACACGTAGGTAATGGACCTCGAGATACCAAGCAATAGTAGAATGTCTAGGTTTAAAATAATGGAACGCTATAAAAAATTGGAGACAGTCCTTAAAGCAAACGTTATAATCAAACCGGAACCGACTGCGCCGACTTGATAATAAATAATATTACTTAAATGTGAAGGCTATCACCATTAATATGAAACTAAATGTAACTTATAAAAATAAATAAAAACATAAAATTTCTAACGTACATGCCGTCTCATTTTTTCCCAACATTAAAGGAATTCTTTCTGTCCTCAATACAAGTGAACAAAGGTAATGATTTTGGTGGATATTATTTTCTTGTGACAGAAAAGAATCATTCTTCATTATCTAGTACAATTCATGTTTCAAAATGTAGCGTTCATTTGTATTGAAGACAATGAAGGATGATTTCTTGTTGGCTATGTGGGGTCTATAATATTTTTTTGAAATTAATATATTTTTTCAGGGTGGTCTTCTAAAAGGACGTGCGTATTATTTATATTATTTCTGCTTCAAAGATTTTTTATCCTATCTAAATATTATAATAAACAATTTTATATTCTTCAGCTCAATCGGCGTACTTGAAGTTTAAAGGTACGTAAAAAATATTATTATATTATTGAATAGATAATTGCCTAAAGAACAAGCATTTTTTAAGGCGAGATGCTCGAGGCCTTCATGATATTGATCGACTCAATGTATCAGAATTCCAATGAGCAGTTGTTGTCACACGGAAAATTTCAACAAACATATGGAGAAGCCGCTGACGAGCAAGTTCTTTATTATTATAGTTACTATTGAAGTTCATATGACAAAATATGGTAAAACTTTTTATGCTTGTTAGACTGAAACAAGCGACGGACTTTGAGGCTACAGAGTTCAATACTACATTAGCAAAAAAGTTAAAAGAAGATCTCGCCGCTATCGCTAAACCAAACACACCGGAAAAAATTGAGCCATTCATGAAAGGTAGGTGATATATGAGTCAACACAAAAAAAACATAAAAAACGAATTGGATATTATGTTAATGAATTCTTTATTTTTAGATATTGTGGAGATTTGTTCAAATTATTTGGCACAAAACGCAGAGTTTAACAGTGAGTATTATTCTCATAAATAACAGATACATCCGAATGGATCAAATTTTTCTGTGAGGCATAATTTGTTTATGTTCACTTTCAAATATCAGAGGACAAAGGACCTGCATTTCGTTTATTGGTGAAGGCCATGCATGAAAAAGGGAACGAACAGTTGTATGATAAAGGCAAAGCGAAACGCACTTACAGCAAAGGGGCGACAGAGTAAGACTGAAAGTGATTACTCCAAAGATTATTTAACTATTATTAAATATATATTTTTTCTAGATTGGAAAAATCACATGGTTTAGAAAGTGACCATGACGATCCTAATTTGTCGCAAGAAATTCATTCAAACCTTTCTAAGCTGGTTGATCAACAAACACCACCAGAACTGAAAACAGATATGACGGGTTACTTATTTTTGATGAAAATAATAAAAATGAACAAGTTTAAAATAACTAGCAATAAATTAACTTCTGTATATTCTTTACAGAGACGTTAGATTTATCTTCGAAGTATTTATCTCAATGTGCGGTGGATCAAAGTAAGTTGTGAAAATTTCAATATAGTGTCCCATAAACAAACACTAACTAATATTATTGTCATCAGTTGAACGTGGTCCGGCGTTTGATATTTTGATAAAAGAATTGGAAAATAATGGGGGAGAAGATTTTACTCCTGATTTTGACGTCTTAGCTACAAAATTTGCTGCAGCTTACGTGTAAACATTTATCTTTATTTGTACGATTAAATGGTTATATACAAGTATTAATAATTAATTCTTTCCGTTATTCATAATATAACATTTAGATTAAAGTCAGCACCTGGGCTAAGTGGGGTCAAACCGGACCCTAAAACCGCACCTCTTTTCGCGGAAGAACTCCATAAGGCAGTCGCTACAGTCACACCGAAGGGTCTGGCTAACGATATGCAAGGTAATAACAGAATAAACTTCTACGCTCTTACACTTAAGAAGTAGGAGTATATACTAAATATACGCGCTTTGTCGTTTTCAGAGGTCATTGAAAGATGTGCAAATTACTTGTCTGCCTTTGTGAGAGATAGAGGTATGTATGGTTTTTATTATGCGGATATTTTAATTTATTATATTCTTACATAACTCTTTTTAAAAAGACAAAGCTGTGCAATCATTAATCAAGATGATGAAAGAGAATCCGACTAAAGAGCTTGCGAAGAGGGAAAACTATTCAATGAATTATGGCAAGGGCGCTGAGGAGTAATATTTGAACTATTTAATTTCTATAAATTTGTGATTTAATGCTTCCATAATAATCTTTTATCATATTTTTATAGGATTGAAGCGGCGCCTATGCTCATACCTTTTACGCCAATAAAAGATATTGCTGACGAAGCAAAAGTCAAGTTACACAAAGATATGGAAGCTAATACACCATCTGACATGAAATTGCCTATGAAAGGTATTCTCTGAATTTGCAAAAAAAGTGTTTGCCATGACACGGAAAATATATAATGTTAAATATTTTTATTCTAGCTGTAATACAAGACGCATCCAAATATTTATCACAGCCTACTGCGATCAGAAGTAAGTGATGTGATATAGGCAGAAATAATTGCAAGCAGTTCTTGGTTTGTTTTGCTGATGTGGTGTATTTCATTAGGTGGTGTGGCTGGCGATAGATATCCTTTAAACTTCTTATCGGCAGCTATGAAGTCTCTAGGATCTAGGCCGTTGTCCAAATACAAAGCGTATGGGCAGACCTATAATGATGGCGGTGAAATGTAATATAGGAACTTTATAATGTTTCAAAATGTTATTTTTTCAGTATCTCTATAAATTATTTGCTTGTAGATTAAAATATGTCGGTCCGTTAGAGTATGATCCTAAAGCCGATGATTTAAAGTATCAAATAGCATCCGAAATGCAACGCGGCGTTCCAACTAGAGTGGCACCGACAATCACCCCCAACATTAGCAGTAAGTTTTTAGAAGTCATCTATATATTTAAATTGATCCCGTGTTAATGATTTTGTCACGAAATTTCTTTACAGATACGATGGATGATGCAAGTAAACATTTAGCAAAGGTGGCTTATGAAAAAGGTAAGATTAATTTTAACTAAAGCATTATGACCTTGCGAACTGTAAGTCTACTTCACGTTTATTGGAAATTCAGCCAACAGTGGGACATTATAATATTCACTGCATACTTGTCATTTAAGGTGAAGCATTACAACATTTAGTTAATTTGATGAAAGAAGAGGGTGAAGCCCCTTTAGGACAGATACAAGGATATAAGCAGACGTACAACGATGGTGCCAGAAGGTGACCTTGAAATATGATACCAGTTAGAAGAACAAATACCGAAATATAAAGAATAAATAATGTTGCAGGATAGAAAATGCGCCCACGTTGGCGAATGACAAGGTTGACAAGGGTGTCTACGAATCTGTGAGGGGAAAACTAACAAATCTAACAGAAAAAAAACCGGATCCAGTGCTGGCTAAGCAAATGCCCGGTAAATTTTATTTTGATATAGTTTATTTTACTAATAATTTGATCCATTTCTGTTTACTTGAACCGTATTTATTAAATTCACTATTGAGTTTATTTCTTCGTGTCACTTTTACAGAAATTGTCGATGAGTCGTCTAAGTTTTTGGCAGCGCCTTTTCCTGAAAGTGAGTTATTTAAAACTATTAGTGATAATAAAACTACGCTTTATTTATAGAATAGTTATTTATAGAATATCAGGTTTTATGATTATTTAAAGGAAACAAATAATTACTTATTTTTTTGTATAGGCGAACAAGAAAAGAGACAGGTTCTAGCTGACCTCATGGCGCGTAAAGAAAATCAAATATTGGGCAAGGAGGGTCTTTATAAAATAACGTATACCGAAGGCGGTGAAGAGTAAGTGTGATTCAATGTAAATTAAAATACCATAGCCAATAATTGCTTCAATAGGCATATTGATGAATAATGCATTTGTAACTTTTAGAATATTGAAGGCACCAACCGGTGATATTAAAGCTAAAAATGAGACAACAAAACAACAATTATTGCAAAAAGTTAAGTCTGTTATACCGGATAGAAAATTACAAGATGTGTTAAAACGTAAGTTTGATAATACTGTCATTGTTTAACTCGTGTTACTACTAATTGAAATTTACAATTTTTTTTAGAGCCCGCAAATGAAGGATCAGCCCATTTATCTAACCTTATACCGGGAAGAGGTGAGAACATTTATTTTATTAAATTTAAATTAGAAGGAAGTTCACAACTATAACTTTGTAATTTGGGTAGCCGCTGCAATGCAAGTTTTACATGATGGAATGAAACAAGATAAGGATGCAGATTTTCTCACTGTTGGCAAATTTTCTAAAACTAACGGTCAAACGGCAGACATGTATGTACAATACAAATAATAATTATATACAAATACTATATAAGCTATATATTGGAGATATTATTTTTAGGTTGGCATCAGCAGAATATTTTGGGGGCCAAAATCCCTCCGCAATTTTAGTCGATAAAGCACAAGATAGTATGAGAAAAATATCAACTGAAAAAGCTTCTGGAATAGCGAAAGAATATCTCCCCGGTTAGTTTAAATAATGAAACGACTTAGCGTTGTCACTTAATATATTTGAATAATGATATTTTTGTGCTATACCTACTATATAAATATATTTTGTAGAAACTAAGGACATCTCAGTAAAATACATAGCCGGGGTTGCAACTGAAGAATGTAAGTATGGAGTAGCAAAATATTTTGAATTTGGACTATTGTAGGTTTGAAAATGGTAACCATTACATTTATTTTGATCTCCCAGGTGGTTTGGATGCAAAAGGTCTGGCAGACTGGAAAAAATCTGGAAGGTAGAGTTAAAATATTATTTTAATTAAATAATATACAAACCACTTAAAATGTGTTTGTTTTGATGTTTGTATTCAATTTCAGAAAAGCATCCGGAGAAACTGATGAAGAACGAAGACGGAGGGAGGAAGAAGAGAATGCCAAAAACATGGAGGGTATGAAAAGTATCAACAGTTAACAATTGAATAAACCTATATATTACTGAAAATATTAGCTCAATTACAATTACATATCTGAAGGCCTAATTTTTTTTAAATCTATTTTTAACTAAAGCAACTTTAGGTCATGTGTTTTATGGACAGCCATAAAACATAAGCTTGTAACAGTTATGAAGTGACGGTTGAGTTGTTTTAAACAAGTCGAATGTACAGTGGGTTTTAATTGTAACTTTTTGTTTTACAGCATTGCGTGAGAAGAGGGGCCGTGGTAAGATATGACTTGATATACGAGTATTTGCTTTCATATGTAAAAAAACTGTTTTACGATGCATAGGGTGCTATTCGTTTCTTTCAATCTCTGTGTTAGTATTTGACTTGAGGCGTATACGCTTCCCAAACTTTAGAATATAGTGTGCTACTACGATTCTCTAATAACTTTCTTATTTTATAACAGGAACCTCTAGAGAGAGAAGAGGTGACGGTGGTAAGAAATGAACTGACTAGTTTTTTTTGTCTATCGCGTTTAAAATGTAAAAAAAAAATTGGGATATAAGTATATTGTCCTCTAAGTATTTGTATATACAATTTTTGGCTTTGGTTCAGAGTTTGATCCCGAGCATGAGGCGGCTCTTGAAGTACTGCACCGTCAATTGAAGGCCCGTGGGGGAGAGATTTTCTACAAGCAACCGCATGCAGAGCTCACTCACACCCAGGCTTCTGATTGGTTAATAACTGTTGTCATTACTCGTGTCGAATATGATTTTATTATTGAAGAATTATGCTTCCATAAATCTATAGGCTTTCTATAAAACCTCCGATGAAAGTTGATAAGTCTGTGAGAGAAGCCGCTGATACTGCTAGACTACATAAGAAGTTTGAGAGGAAACTTAACGTTCTGGTCAGTAAACATACCCCTGATGAGATGTACGACGCTATGCAAGGTATGCGGCATTTATATGTATTAGTCAACGAATTTACTATAGGAATCATTAATAACACTTAACTCTTTGCATAGATGTGGTGATCGAATGTTCGCGGATTCTGTCCGAGTACTTCGTTTCAAAGAGTGAGGAAGAAAAATATCTTTTACGTTTAAAATTTTCAAGTTTTTTTTTTCGGTCAATAAATACTACTGTTATGTTACAGGCTATAAGGCTTTGGTACAAATTGCTCTTATATCAGAAATGCAAAAACGAGGAAATGAAATTCTTGTAGAGGTTGAAGGTGCTGCGGAGACATTCTTCTTTGCAGCACAAAGGTATAATAAGCAAAGAGGGTTTTTTATACAATTTTAATTGAATTTATTTGTATTTGACAATGTCCATTAAATTAATGAGTATGGTTTGATATAACGTTAGGTTAAAGAAAGCCAAGTCATTGGAAGAGAAAGAGCCTTGTTCTCAAGTGTCCTATACCTTGACGAAAAAGTTGGAAGATATGATAAGATGCAGATCAATGGCACGTAAATTGACCTCGGCAATGAAAGGTCTGATTGAATTTCTATATAAGAAAGATATGTTAATATAAGCATTATTTAAGTTGGCACTATTAATGATATTATTAATAATGTTCTATACAGATCATATTAAAGATGCCTCAGATTACTTGTCAGCGTGTGTAACTAAACCTGGTGAGTTATTTAACTTGTATATCTTTGATTGTTAACCAAAAAAATATGTATTTGCCTATAAATAATTCTAATTTAGATCAAGAAATTGAAGCTTACGTGTCACTCTTAAATGAAATGGAGACTGCTGGTGAAAGTCTTTTAATTGATGGAAACATACCAAAGACTTATAAGGATGCTGCTCGCTAGTTCGTACTTATATATTGCTTGAGTTGTTTTTAAATTAATTTATATATTGTATGTTTTAATTTAATGTATTCTCAATAGCCTACGACAGTTGACATCTTATGAAGATCAGATAGGACTCTCCAATAGTTCGTTGCAGTCGACAACAGAAGGGAAACTTAAAACTTTAATGTCTAATGATACTACAAACAAAAGTGTCATGAATAGTGAGTTACGAAAAAATTTATATTTTTACTGTCTATTCCTTAATATTTCAGCACTAATAATAACTAAAAATTTACTTTATTGCAGGTGTAATATCTGATTCAGCTCGTCTTCTTGTATCTTACATAATGTTGCAAGGTACATATTTTTATTTATTCTCGATCTTAAAATTATAAGGGCATTTTAGACTACCTACCACGTAATATATTTCTTTTCAGTAATAAAGACTGAAGCATTAAAAGTTTTAATAGAGAACATGGATAAGGCAGGAAGCAATGTTCTGTTACGCCATGGTACTCTGCGAAAGACTTATAGTGATGGCGCCGATTTGTACGTTTGAAAATATAATTTCTTATTACAAACCTTGCCTACACTCAGATTTCATAACGAATTCAATTTATGATAGATTACGACCCAAGAATACCGATGAAATAAATGTACCTAGCGCAGATCCCGTCGTAGCAAGGAAAATACAAATAAAATTGCGGAATCTTATGTATTCATGTACACCAGATAAATATAAGGAATATATGGACGGTAAGATTGAACCATTGAAATATATAGATAGTTATTCAGTCAACGTTATACTTGTTCCACTGTACAGATGTAATAGAAGATGCGACCATGTATCTAGCTGTACACTTCTTACAACCACGTGAGTATCTTATAATAAATAAGATTATATTTTTTTAATTTACCTATAATGAAATACTTTACGAAGAATTATCTTGGCTTTTTAGAGTTAATTAAGGTCTGCAAATGTATGAAGAATGTGTTCGTCCAATGTGAACTTTGGTGCGACGAGATTCTTCGTCGTGTAGCTCGTCCTTGTTGCACATGTTCAAGGCACGTGTCAGCTCAGGCGCTTGCGGAGCTGGTCGGACTGACGGGCGGAGCACAACCGTTACGGATCAGCCCTGGCTCTTCAAGAGCCTTTGCTCCTGGAATCGAAATGTCCATAACTCAATGCCCTTCCAAGCGGAGTGCATTACAGAAAGCTCAGAGGGGACCGTGTCCCGCCCCTATTAAAACAGACGAATGTAATATAACAACCTCGTACCTTCTATATGCGACGGAACCCACCGGGCGTCAACATTTTAATAAATATATTGGAAAGTTGGAAAGTCCCACCGCTAACTCTTTTGGCTCAAATATTCCATCGGCAACACCACCTCCAGCTGCCGCAAAAGTTCTAATTCAAGATTTACAAACTATAAATAGATGTGAGGATGCTAACAAAATGGAAGAAGATACTTCAACGCCCTCATATTACACTCCATTGAGCAATAACTTAGAATCAGTATCCACGAAGTCAGAAACACATTTTTGGCAGTCACCAACAACAATGTTTGCAAAAGTACACACTGATGTCGATGTATCGGATATTCCGTCAACAAAGCCTGTTAGGGAGTCGAGAAGGTTATCAATGTCAAAACGTGGATATAGTTCTAGTAAATATTTTTTCTGCGCTAGAATTTTTTCTCTCTTAGTCAAGTTTTTTGTATATTCTATAACTTTCACAGGAGCTCCAATTGTAACCACTGACGAAATGAGCGATTGGCATGCAATGATGGTAAGTCTGATGTGGAATGTTCAGGCTTGGCGTGAGTGGATACAAGAGAACATAGATCGCGCCATCAATTATGAAAGTCAACCCAATCTTACACCAGGTACAGAGATGCAACAGTATATAACTAATTATTCTAGTTTTGAGTAATTTATATTTATTATTAAAAAATATATATTAATTTATCACTTTCCTTCAAACCAAACAGAACAAGCAAAGCAATCTTGGCACACATTTCAAAGGAGGATTGCAACAGAATCCCTTCAATGGAGACAATATAACAATTTTAGCCATCAATTGACTCTTCGTTTGGCTTTAAGATATAGAGACAAGAAAGTAAGTTGTATACTGTTAGTTTATTTTCATTTTAAGGATAAAGTTAATTAATTTCATTCCATCAAGATTGTTTCGCCAACACGAGCAACAGTAAAGACTGAAGCCTATATGGAATGTCAGGAAGAAATGTTAGATATCATCAAAATGTTTCATAGATGGACGCAATGGATCACATTAATTGTAAGCCCTAATAATATTTTAGTGTAAACCATAAATTCTAGAAGATTCACATATTCTTTATTTGTAGATAAAAGAAACTGATGATATAAAAAGTACTGGTGAATCGGAATTACAGTTACATGAAATGTAAGTCTTTACATCAACCAAGGTTTTTTGGTATATATTAATACTTTAACTTGTATATATTCGTAACTGTAGAAAGTGGAGACATTTCAAGATGAAGGTAGAGGAGTATATGAATGATTGGACTAAGTATAATACTCATTTAAAAGGTTGCTGGGAACAAAAATATAGGACACTCATTGAAGGTAACAGTTATATTATGTGCTAGTTTTTGGTACTACTACTACATAATACTGTGTAAATATTTGTATATAACAAACTTTTATTAGTAGGATGGGGTAAGCAGGAGTCACAAAAAATAGGGACCATGTTAATTAGTATTAATTCTGTTATTATTATGTCCCGATACGTTATCTCAGATTGGTTACCGTCGTGGGGCGAGCCCGGCCCAGTTTGGGTTGTAAGTGCTTGTGGAGCTGTGCCAAGTGGGGCGGTGGCTGCTGGAGTGTACGACGGAGAAGTTATCTGGCTAGCGAGAAGCACACACAGGTTTTAAAGATGTACTGTGTCATTAACACAGATTATGGAGATGCTCATAATGTTTTAATTTAGGTGCAACGTTCTACCAGCTGCCTTGCATCCCTCGAAGCATTCTTGCGTTATTTACGCTGACGGAGCTGTGCACTATTATACAAAATACCAAGTAAATACCCTATTAATATGTACATATATAATATTCTCCTATTAATGGATTGCGTAATCGAGATGTTCTGTAACGTGCAGGTGATGTGTAACGCTAATGTATCGTGGATAGCTTGGAGGGCGGAGACGGTTGTGGAGGAAGGATCTACGGTGGGGTCCATGGGGGCCCGCGCTGTGAGAGTGGCACCAGGGGTACTTATAGGGCGAGTTCATTACAGGGGGTCGCATCTCGTAGGCGCGGTTCATGCACCAGCCAACCGCTGCCACGTTGTAATATTTGGACGACCTTTCGCCTTCAATTGTTATGAGCTATTGGTTGAGGCTCAAGATGACTGACTGCGAAATAGTATAATAGCATTTAGGTTTGGTTGTAATTTTACTACTGTTTGTATTTAAACAGAGAAATTTTGAGATGAAACTCGAGAATCATTCTCGTTATTAGCGGACATTTTTTGTCTTAATTTTTTCTTTGCCTTTGTGGATTGTGAATTGTTATATTGCAATGGATTTGTGAAATATTTTTGAGGTTTGATAGTAATGCATATAATGTTTTTGAGTGGTTGTGAATTTTTTGATGTTGTATATATTTTTTGATTTGAATTATATCGTTTTGTTTTATTTAAATAAAATTTCAGTTTCCTAATATTAATCTATCACTCTATATATACATATTTACAAACAGGATAATTAATTAAGCATGTCAGGATCTTTGATCGTCTAGAGATCTAGAGACAAAAGATTTTATTCATCTTTTCTTTAGCGTTTTATGAGTAAAGGTACATAAAGTTCACAAATTTAATAGAATGGATGAAGATATGTATGCTCAGTTCATGCAGATATTATTATACGAAAGGCTTTCGTTTATTTACCTTTGTACTTTAGAACCTCACAGTAGGTATTCAATGAGAAACGGGAAATACTTAATTTTTATTCGTAAGAAGATGCAAATTTTTAATACCACTGTACCTGTGGTATAATATAATATTAGCCATGACAATAAGAATTCGGTTCTCAATTTTTATTCATAATGCTGTGTGGGTCGTATAAAACCTCGTTAAATTATTAAAGAAATTTTATGGAAGGTGGATCCTTACTTACGTTTTATTTTCATTATCTCACGTAAATGTTTTTAAGAATTTTAAATCAAAACACGATGTCGAACTTGATTTTTAAGAACTGTGATGTCACTATTATTATTTTCAAGTCGCGTTATATATATCACAAATAAAGCACACTCACATGTACTACTGTATTTCAGAATTTTACTTGCACTTGTAATTAGGTAAGCGTTCTTCTAATAGCTCTCACACTTAAGTACTGTGGCCCCTCCTGCTCCATCAATATTTTAAAAAAAATAATGAATGGTTTTGTGAAGTTATTACATTTACTTATTAATATTAATGATAATCTATTAATATTAATGATAATATTACGATGAATAATAATCTATCAGTAAAATAATTCAGAATCGTTACTTAAGTTTTAGTAATGTATTAAACCATCCAATCTTAACATTGCAAGTTAATATTTTTTTAGAAAATATAATTGATATATTTATAGGTTGGTTTTATTTTAAGTTTTCGTTTTACTAAAAGTTAGAGTGATTAATTTTCACATATTATATCAAATCACGATTATAAAATTTACTATTTCATCATCATATACGATCATATAACGATCTATAAAACAAATAACATTGTTAAAGAAATCATAATATTGATTATAAGTTATAACACATTACAACGGAGATGGAGAGAAGACATAAATTTTAACAAGTTCTACAAAATAATAAGGCAAAAAGGAACAGGTCTGATTGTATTAGTCGGGCTGCTAATGAGCGTCCACTCCCGGCCGCTATCCCACTACTGCCCGATACGGAGACTTTTGGCTGCTGGGTTTCCCCCCTGGCCCGGTTCGCCTCTCCTTAGTTAACCTGCACCCCCCAGACTCCTCCGGGGGGTCCATATTAATACCAGGCTTTGTGTGGACGTCCAGTCAACATGGACCACACATTAACAGGACTCCCAACCTCAAACCATCCTCTGTACCCGACCTCCGAGTAGCCGGATTACAGGAGACGCCACGCTCCCAGTCGAAACACGTGTTGAAATAGTAGAACTATTAAATATATTAGATACTTGGTTCAAAACTCACTTAGTCAACATTAAAAATTGATTTTTTGTAAGAAAATTCATTTTAGAAGGTTTTTCATATATTTTAAATGTTTTTTGGTTTAAAATAATTATATATTTAAGAAACATACCATATATTTTTATATATTTCGTTAGTAACTCCCTCTACTGAGTTTTTTTTAACTTAACATTCAACATAGAGCGATTATAGATGGCGCTTATAATAAGTCGATCTGGAATTTTAGTAAACAAACCATGAGTCATCATAATTAGGGTTGACACACTCTTAATAAAAAATAATTATTATAATAATTACAACTATATTCATTATAACATAATTTCCTGTTTAAACACAAAATTTTTAATTTATATAGAATCCAAAAAAATTATTTAGCTGGTCAATACATAATCTTTAACTACCACTATAATATTACTACAAGACTAACAACCCTATATTTTAAAACTGACGTAAAGGTTCGCAACATTTGGAGTGTTTTTAAGCAATTGGCAGATATAGGAAGGTATATAATAGCGATACAGGCTCTTCGTAATTGGTGGTTTATATTTTTAGTCGTATTATAATGGTAGTATAACCATAACAGGTGAAGAATGTTAACATTACACACAACGTTTCATTACACACAGATTAAAAAAAAGACATCTTGTTTTGGCTAGCATAAATATAGCACTATAATTACTGTTTTAACCACATATATTTACAATTTCTTCTAATATATATATATCAGATAAAATTTAAAAAAATTTATTGCGGTTACATTTAAATTAATTTAAAAAAATATTTTTTTAACGCAAATAAAGTTAAACGAAACGTAACTACGTAATTTTGTTGCGTTATACGCCCGCCATAATGTTTGTTATACGCCCGCCAAAAATGAAAAACGTGTGCAGTCGCCGACACCAGCACCAAAACGCGTGACAAAAATTGATTTATTAGGCGAAACAGACCTCAGTGGCAAAAGAAGAAAGTTCCACGAGTTTTTTTTCGAAATGAACCACCGTCATTGTCCCAAGTGTTACAGGCTGTTAACGTCGATGATACTCTTCCAAATTTTAAGAGAACAACTTTTCAAAACTAATTTAAGAAAATGGATATTAAATACTTGAAAAGGTCAAGAAAAAGGATGTTAATTGAAAAGTCAGATATTGTCAGATGGAGATTTGATTATTTAACAAAAATCATCAAATTCCGTGAATAAAAACAAAAAATATACTATATCGATGAAACATGGCTTAATGAAGGTATATTATTTGTTGAGACTTTTATGTAGCCTTTTCCTTTGTAATACATTTGTATTTTCATTTCATATTTATCAACTTTAATCTTGTTTTTTAGGACACACAAAATCAAAAGTATGGCAAGATGTAAGTGTGCAGTCCAGTCGGGAAGCTCATAGAGGAAAAGGAAAACGTCTGATAATATTACATATTGGTAAATATTTAACAATGTTAATTGATTTTGTTTTGATTTAAAATATATTACTCTATAATAAATGTTTATATTTTTTTACAGGAAGTAATGATGGATTTTTAAATGGTGGAAAATTAATTTTTGAAAGTAAGAAAGGGGTAGGTGATTATCATCAAGAGATGAATTCAAAATTTTTTGAAGATTGGTTTGTAAAAGTAATAAATAAAATTGAGCCAAACTCAATTGTTGTGATGGACAATGCACCAACCCACTTAAGGCGACTTGAAAGAGTTCCAACAATGGTATGGTTGAAAACAGATATCCAAAAATGGCTTAATGAAAAAAGAATCCCCTTTGAAACAATTATGTTAAAAAGGAAAATAATTGATATAGTTAAAAAAGAAACATAAATATATGGCATATGCAATAGACACCCAAGCAAAAAATTATAATATTGAAATACTAAGATGGCCCCCATATCACTGTGAATTAAATCTTATTGAAATGATATGGGGGCAAGTTAAAGGCTCTGTTGCAGGGAAAAATAAAAGTTTTAAAATGGCAGATGTAAAAATATTGCTTAGAGGCAATGGATTTGATTACACCTGCGACATGACAAAAATGTATCGGGCATGTATTAAAGATGGCACAACTTGACTACTTAAGTGATACAGTTGCCGACCAATTTATAATACATGTGACTGAGGATTATAGCACAACATCAACTTCTACCAGTAGTGCCAATAGTGACTAATGTTTTAAAATATAAAGATTTAATAAAAATATTTCTTAAAGCAAATTTAGTTTTATTGTTAATATAAGTTTTGTAATTATTTATACCTTCCATATAAAAATAATAATAATAACAATTTATATTTAAGAATATATCATATCATTTAAATTAAACATTTAACTACTATGAAACTAAGTAATTATGATAGAATTAATATTAAATGATTTATAAGACGCTATTAATTATAATCATAATAAATATTGTATCTTCTATATATATAAAAATGGATTGCTGTTCCTTAGTCTCGCTAAAACTCGAGAACGGCTGAACCGATTTGGCTAATTTTAGTCTTGAAATACTCCTGGAAGTCCAGGAAAGGTTTAAAAGGTGAGAAAAATTGGAATTATTGCCGGGAAAACCCTAAAAACAGCCCTTTTCTATTTCCCATACAAACGATTTTTTGACATTAGACTTGACAACTAACTAATATGTCAATCATTCTGTTTGATTGAAACAGTAGAAATTTAATAAATACCAATACCGGGTTATTGAAGACGGAATAGAGTTTGCCACGTCAGCTATACCTATATTACTAATGACGAAATTAACGCGGACGAAGTCGCGGGCAAAAACTAGTTTATAATAAAAATATATACTAATACACTACCAACAAACGTTGCTTTTTCCAGTATTAGAGCAATTGTAATCTCGAACCTCCCATTGACCCATTCAAATATACACAAAATTTAATCTAAATGAGTCCTGTCGTTTGGGAGGCGACGGATATAGTTAATAAAGCGATTTTATATAACTACGAGGTAATTTCTGATATCATTTTAAAATTGGAGGTATTATTTTTTTTTTTTTTGAGATCTACATTATTCCTGATGATCATAAGTATTATAAATTATAACCAAGAATTAGTCCTTTGTCTTAAATATTTTATTACTAGCTTTTGCCGCGACTCCGTCCGCGTGGAATAGTGACTTCCGGCAGCTTTTTGGTTCTTCCCACATAGTTGCCGTTCTTGCCGGGTTTTCGG